CAGGCCGACGATTGCTACCTCTCATCGACCCCCTCTAGTTTTCCTGATTTGGGTGTCGATTCTTTGAAAGCTGGACATTTGCTACGCACATGTCCAATTTCACCACAGTTCCAGCATCTTATTTGTTTCCTCTCAGGCAACACTTCTTTCATTACTTTTCTGATGGTGGCCTCAATATCAGCAGGCACTTGTCCATCTTCCTCGATAGCTTGAACTTTGCTCTGGCTCTTGAAGGATTGTTTTGCAGCCTCAAACTCCAGAGCGCTTGCCAGTGCATCCACGAGATGTTTGGGATGAGCTAGCGTCAAGGCCTGCCTCGTTTCTTGGTCGCGAAGTCCATCCAAGAATGCCTGAACTGCTAACCGCTCCATTACATTTTCGGATATAGCAGGATATGCCAGACGGGCCAATCGAGCTATGTCGGCTTCAAACTCCTGTAGGGATTCTCCTGATTTCTGGCAGCGGTTCTTCAGCTGTGAATGGTAAACGTGCTCTAGGGGGGCCTGTCCATACCGCAGTTCAAGATGCTTTACAAGTTGGTCATAGTCTTCCTGTTCCTGGGCCGTGAGGGTTTGCAGGATATTCGTTGCTTCTCCACGCAACGCCAATGTTAATGCTACCGGCTTCATGCAGAGCTTTCCTGGTTCAGAACTGAGTTTGACATAGTTCCGGAATTGAGTTTTCAGTAACCGTTTCTGTGGGGTGGGTAGAATTAACAATTTGGTTTTGCAACTTGCTAATTGTTTTTTTCATATTGCTGATTTCTGACTCGAATTCGCCTTTGATTTCATTGCCTAACTTTTTCCCCATTTTCTTCATTTCTGCTCCGATTTCATCTTTGATCTCCCCTTTGATTTCCTCTCTGATTTTGTCTATCTCTGTCTCGATGGTTCCTATCCTTTCTTCGAGTAGGCTTGCCACACTACAAAGCTCTTTCTTCAAGCCTTCTGCATTTTCTATAAGTTCTTCCTTCAAGCTATTCGAATTCTCTAGAAATTTATCTTCCAAACTCTTCGAATTTTCCAGAAGCTTCTCCTCCAGGCACTTCGAATTTTCCAGAAGCTTCTCCTCCAGACTTACCGAATTTTGTTGAAGTTCATCTTTCAAACTCTTCGAATTTTGTTGAAGTTCATCTTTCAAACTCTTCGAATTTTGTTGAAGTTCATCTTTCAGCGATTTGGTATTCTCCTCGAGTTTGCTCATTATTGAACTCCAATCACCCCCAGAAACTTCGAATAAATATGTTTCGGGATCTTCTCCTGATTCAATCAAGTTGTCCCATAGTCTCTTCTGGAGTACTGATTTTTTTCCGGATGAATCTAGTTCTCTCTCCTCCAATTCTTGCTTCAATTCGGCGACTTTCAAGTCCACTAGGCGCACTTTTCTTGAACACATTTTATCTCTTACTGTCTATTTTACTCAAAACTGAATATGTCCACTTATTTAATGGAGTCCGAAACACTTATTTATTTTCACAAGTCTATTTTTCGCGAGAAAGGTTTATCAGTTTATATTTCCGTCGTCCGATACTGTCCGCTTCGCGAAAAACAATGAATCGCCAGTCTATCTGCGCGAAAGTTTTATAGTCAATTTCACCGTAATACAAAAATTGTCCACCAAGCGCTCACAAATTTATTTTAAAAATCCACTTCTGATCACCAATTGTAACGAATTAAAGAATTAACTGTCTTAAACAAATTTATTTTAACAATACTTCACTATCACAACTAATTTATTTACACCACTCAGTACCTAACGCTTAATTTATCTTCACCGTTTGTTAACCGCTCGATTCGCTTTCTTGGTACAGACTACTCTTCGGGACGGAGAGCGACGTTTTTATATCGTCAACGAACGTTCCGGATCCCTCTGCGGATTTCGGGACCCATCCGGACTTTTCGCGCTATTTCGCGATGCGTCATGCGTTTGCTGACTGGGACATCGGTCAGGGCCGGCTTCAGATTCATTACAATATACATCACATACAGTGCATTTCTTTAATGTCCCACCTTTTATTTTTTGAACGGGTCAACTCAAAAAATTGAAATTTTGGATAATGAAATTAATGCATGAATACTTTATTTTGAAGTGAAATTGACAAATTAAACTTTCAAGATGGCGACATTAATATTGATATTTCTAAAAATATTCTTTTTTATCTGCCTTATGGCAATTCCAACAACCCGATAAGGTTTATTAAGTTATTTTTTGTTTATAAAAACGACAAAAAATGTCAGTACGACAATGAACATCATTGTTCAGTTAGAATATTCTCCTTTAGTTTTCGGTTTGACTAATAGAAAGGTATCATGTCCACAATCTCTAAAATGTTCTTCCAATGCTCAATTCTCGAGCATTGGAAGAACAAATTTAAGCAATTTTTATTTACGGTGCGACGCGTAACTTTCCGAGACCGAAAGGATTTTCAATGAACGTTTTCCGAATCGTCCTATCTGTGGAAAATATTTGAGGGAACTTGTATTCAAATTCACAACTACCGGTACTTTACATAACAAAAAGCCCCCAGGTCATCTGTCCATTCCGGAAGAACAGCAAGTGCAAATAATTGGTGAGATGTTAGTAAATCCTGAACAGTCTACTTATTCCGTCGCGAATGTTTGTGAGGTGTCTCCTTCTACTGTGTGGAGACTTTTGAAGAGGAATAGGTATCATCCATACAAAATTAAAATGGTACACGAATTAACTGAAGATGACCCTGATCGAAGAACAGAATTCTGCGAAATCATGACTGAAACCATTGCAAGGCAATGTTAACAGACAAAATTGCGTTATTGGAGTGACACCAATCCTCACGATTTCCGGGAAACACATACCCAATATCCAGAAAAAATTAACGTTTGGGCAGGAATATTGGAAAACTATATTGTAGGACCTCTATTTATTGATCAAAATTTAACAGCGGGACTGTATTTGAATAAGCTGGAAACTACTGTTGACCCTCTCATCACTGAAATTACTCTAGAAAAGTAAGAAACTATTTGGATACTACTTTTCCCGGTAGTTGGATTGGCCGTGGAGGTCCTACAGAATGGCCAGCCCGCTCGCCAGATTTAACACCTTTGGATTTTTTAATGGGGCTATTTGAAGCAAAAGAAGTACGAAACTGAACCTGCTTCAATATTGGATAAACGGCAGAGAATAATAAATATTTGTAGAGATATTGACGTTACTGTGTTCGAAAATGTTCGGCATGAAATATCGGATAGGCTGTTCATATGTCAAGAAGTTCAAGGCAACCATTTCGAGCATCATGTCAATGCATCATGTCATGTCAACATGTCAATGTATTCAGACAATTATTAAACCTTCCGCCATTTTGTAGCAGTTGAAGATATTGACATTATATTCTAGGATTGTGAAGCATTTGTCAAGAGCTTTAAAAAGATGTGTCACAAGACCCCCTTTCCATTTAATTTTTTCCCCAGATGGCGCCCAGTCGCCATTTCGAAAGTTTCATCTGTCAATTTCACTTCAAAATAAAGTATCCATGCATTAATTTCGTTTTCCCAAATTTCAATTATTTGAGTTGACATATTCAAAAAATAAAAGGGGGGGTTAAAGAAATGCACTGTATACTGTATTCACATTTTTTATACAAAATATTATTTTCATGTAATGAAGTTTCTAACTGTTTGAAAATAAATAAATAACCAGTCGAATTCAACTAGATGCTAGATTTTTGGGAAGATATCAAAAGTTTTTGGAACTGTACATAGATGAATTTTAAAATTGAATGAACATTTTAAATACATGATAAGTAAACTTGAAATTATATCACACAAAATGAGAATAGTCACAAATCAATAAATCTGAAGAAACAACAGCTATACTGAAAGAATTTTCATTCCCTAGTATTAGAATCACAATCTGAAGATTGTGTGTTCAAATCCAACTTCGATCAGATATTTTTGTCAAGAGAAATGTTCTGGTTGAAATTGGATTGATTCTGGTACATTACAGTGCAGAAGGGGCTGCGAAAAGCCATGATGCTTCCTAGGTGGGTTCGGGGAGTTAGTAACATAGCTTATATACCAAACACTACACGAGGCTTATGACTAGGGCATTCAACACCGAAAAAAAATCGTACATGGCAATAAAAATTTTCAGTCATCTGCGCAAAAAAATTAAGAATTATGATACCTTAAAAAAAGAAAAAAAATGAAATTATTGTTATATATCTGTTGTCCTAGACTTCTAATGAATACTTCATTTACATTTGTGTTAGAAAGGTACTATAAGACTTTTCTTATAAAATTGTCTTCTCTTATAGATGGCAAATCAAAATTTTGTTTCTTGATATACATACTTAAATATGTAGAAATTATAACTTTATTATAGTTACATTGTAGTCACCCTATAAAATGTAATTTTTATCAACTATCATTTCATAGTCCACGCCAGACTATGATATCAATGAATTAATTAATTATACCTAATCATCAGTAGCTTACTATATGGACTTTTCAGTATATTGACTAGTGTTTCTTTGATTTCAGATTTGGGCAACAACTATTCCCAGAAGGGAAGCCATTATTAGGCTTATAAATCGCAATAAACTCACAGAAGAACAGGCCAATAATAGAATAGATGCCCAACCTTCAAATTGTTTCTATGTTAAAGCAGCTCACGTTGTATTCTGTACATTATGGCCTGTAGAGTATACCAAAGAGCAGGTTGTAAAAGCGTGGCAGCTGCTGCAGGAAAGACTCTAGGACTGACAGCTGTGCATTGTTATTATGTTGTCTTGTGAAAATAGCTATTTTTATATGATTGAATTCTCGCACACAAAGAATAGATTATTTGTACTTATATGAATTTAAAATGTTTCATTAAGCTCACCAAGTCACTGAAGTTTAAATTTATTTATGGATTCACTTCAACTATTTACTCAATTTTTCATTGTGTCGAAACAAAAACAAAAAAATTTCTTTGCTCACAAATACACTTTTTGTTAATATACTCATGTTTATATATCACAGCCATGGTTTCAATATCCTTATATGAAACTCTGATCTCTCACAGCAGATTTTTTTTAAATCTTAAATCGTACAGGGCTAAATGAAAATTTTGATACAGATTTTATCTATCTTCTAAGTTTAATGGTAATTATCTCTCTGAATAAATCACAAAACAACAGTACTTTATGGGGAAGAAAGGTTTTGACTTTCTACTTCTCCATCTTGATGCAAAAAAATGTGGGAATCTTCCAAAGAAAGGAAGTAAGCAATCAATTAAAAAAAAAGTAATTCTTTACAAAGATGTGCAGACGCCTGATTCAGCCAGCTGAATCAGGCGTCTCACATCGGCTTCGAATTCTTGAAGACTCTCCGGATTTTTGTGTGCGCGTCTTCATTTGGGCTCGGTACAGCTGTTCTATGTGTTGATCGCCATACCGTAACTCTAGTGCAGATATCAGATCTTCGTATTTACTCTGTTGTTCGGTGGGTATCGTTTGCAGCATACCCAAGGCTGGCCCTCTCAGAGCTACGATAAGTGCTGTAGCTTTCTCCTCTTCACCCCATCCATTCGTCGTTGCCGCAGCCCACAAACCACCTACTATAAGTAGTTTGTGCCGCAGCCTCGAATTGGCGGCGGTACATGGACCGAGACGACTGTCCATCAAAAGTCGGTGGTTTCACGGAAATTGTAGATGTGGCAACCCTGTCTCGGCGATCTTGATTTTTGAGAAGCGCTATCTGTTTTTCGACTCTCTTTTCTAGTCCTATCATCTCCTCTTGTACTGTATGCACTTCTCTTTTAACCTCGTCGTCGATTTTCATGACGCTTTCCTTCAGTTCTCCTTTTAGATTTTCTTTTAGTTCTTCCATTCGTATTTCGGTTTTATGAAGCATGTGCTGGAAGAATTTTTCTTGGTGTTCTCGAACATTCTGGAAATCTGCTTTCCGTTGTTTTTCTATTTGTTCTAATTCATTCTTTTGTTTTTCTAGAATGTTCTGGAGATCTTCTCGCTATTTTCTCTGTTCTTCGAGAATTTTCTGGAGCGCCTCTTCTCGTTCTTTCTTTTCTAATTCTTTTTCCTCCTGCCGTCGTTTTTCCTCTTCCTGTCGTCGCTTTTCCTCGACTTCTTTTTCCTCCTGTCGTCGCTTTTCCTCGACTTCTCTTTCCTCCTGTTGTCGCTTTTCCTCAACTTCTCTTTCCTCCTGTCGCCGCTTTTCCTCGACTTCTCTTTCCTCCTGTCGTCGTCTTTCCGCATCCGCAAATTGGTTTTGAATGAATTGCAGCAACATGTCCTCCATCGTATCGTACGATGTACTTTTCGTATTCACCATAAATGCCTTATAATTTTCACAAAAACGTCAATTTATTGTTTTTATTTATCAGTAAAATTCCACTTCCGACACCACTGTTACGATATTTACTTGGGGTTCGTTTTCAAAACAACAACACTAATAATACTAAGACAACTTTTATTTACTTAATACACAACTACTGCACTGATTATAATTCACTTAGAATACTCGCTTGCTTGAGACTTCGAACACTCTCTTACTAATATAATCTTGCCGAAGGAACTCGCTCTTTTATAGTAAAATCGATGCATCTAGAATTTCTAGAAATTCCATATCCGTCGCGATGCTTCGCTCTTAGGATCGACGTTCGAATTCTTTTCGAGACTTTTTCAGTTAGCGCCTAGGGAGGCAACGTGCGTGTGACGTCATGCTCAGGTAGAGGTCCCTTCGTCGAATTGGGTGACTGTAGTCAGGCTGCGGCGCTAGGGATTTTGTAACAGTATTCTCGACAAAATAATGGAAGCCTTAATAGAAAACCAAAGTATGTCTCCAATGATAGGCAGAAATGAATTATTGAACACTTTTAAAAAAATGAATTTCAGCTAGGAAAAAAAATTATTTGCTGGAGGAGACATTACCTAAGGCAGATGTGAGGATAGAAAGATTTATCAGTACGAAACTCAGCTTAACGAGAATCTACACTTAAAAAGATGTGGCAAAACAAAAACATAACAACTTGTGACGCACTGTTTGGAACCTTTAGTGTAAAAAACTGGAGTTTTTTCCCAACACCAAACCGTTATTTTAACACTTCGACACGTGTTTCGATCACCAAGTGATCATCTTCAAGAGGAAGATCAACAGTTTGATCTTCCTCGATTTTTATATTTTTTTGTTTTGTATTTTATAAGTGATTGACTGTACTATGAAGAGCATTATTTGCTAATAAAGAGTGAAGCAAGAAGAAACACCACATTTAAAATAAAAGATACCTAATTACTCTTCAAGGAATCCTTAAAAAAAAGGTATTTCCAAAGAATCGGAAAATGTATGGAACATGTTATAAAAGAAGAGAACAACAAGTGAAAATTTGATCATTTAATCAATAAATAAAGTATATTCATCGGATTTATCTGATGATAACGCAGCATAATTTTTGCTTAATACCTTCTTAAATAAGCATACCTATTATTGTAAATTTTTAAATTAAAATGGTAAACCGATATTATTTATACATAAATAAACATTTTTATAAGTGATGACAAGTATTTTTGTTAATTACCCAAACGCATGCCATTGCAGATAATAAAACCATCGGAACCATCTTTTGTTTGCCACCCATTTGCCATACAAAAATAGGGATACCCAATAAAGTATTATAAAATGCCTATACCAACTGTGGCAAATTATAACAAAATCACAAAATTTTGTTTGAGCTATATGTTAGCGTTTTGCGTTTACTTTTTATTATTAGGAAATAAACAATAGGTTTCATAATAATAAATGATATCTTATCATCCTTTCAATCAGAAGGAGTCCAAATATGGGGTAAATTATTTCAAAGAACGATTATAAAAAGCAACATTTTATTCAACATATAAATTATAAGTAAATAACACTCATAATTGAAAATATAAATGAATACTATACATACACTTATAACACAGCAAAGTTTAGACACATAATATAAAATAACTTTTGGGTGTAGTCTCTACTGCTAAAATGTTCAGATAGTCTCATGAAGGTAACCTCACCCATGACAATATTGCAATAGTGACTACACTCAAAATGTTCACATCTCATTTATTGGGAACATTTACAAAAGCAGAAAAAACTTTAAGAAGTAGGTTGGCAAACATTAATCTATTTTTATTAAAACTAGGAATGCTCATTAGGTATGAGTTCTGAGTTGGATAAAAATTTTCTCAGAACAGCCATATTTACGATCAGTTACATCATTCTTCAGTATATTAAAAACGTTTTCTTGTTGGTTAATCATAATTGCATTGCCTTCTCCCTTGATAGGAATCGATATGTTTCATACCATTCATCACAATATGTTCAAAACAAGATTACAAAAATTCCTAGTGAAATGATAAAAAGTACAAACATAATACAAATACAATACAAAAAGTTGAACTGAAAAAATCCAATAAAGTGAATTGCCAAAACATTTTTTTGGAAATGAAATATGTTTTTGAATGGTAATTTCTCTCAATTGAAAAGACAAACTTCTAGAAAAGCAAATGTACGCATTCATTTTGATTGTTACATTAATCTTAGAAATGCATATATCCGTGACAAAAAAAAATCACAACTGAAACAAGAATCGAAATGCAAATATCATGCACCTTCAACTACATCTAAGTCATTTAAATCGTTCAATTCAAAATATAAATGTCCAGCATATTTGAATTTATATCAAATAACTGAAGAGCTGAGTGGATGAAGGAATAGGCATATTCTTTGATCCACATACTCCTTGGAACTCTCCAAATACGATTTAATACTATATCAATCCATCAAATCGAAAAAAAACAAAAAACCGGCACCTGCGTGTTTTTGTAATAAATTACCATAACAAAACACCTTCAGAAATTAAGACCATTAAACTTGGGAACCCCTCCCTCCTAAATACATGGCCTGAATAAAAGTTTGGATGGTACTGGGCTCAAAAGTTCCCTCCCCACTCTTCATACCATCGGCAGGGGTTTTTAATAAACCCGAGTCATACCCTCTATAACATTGCCTAAGTGTCTTTGCTTACAAAAAATTATAGAGTTAAGAAAAGTTAAATGAATGAAGTATAAAAAAACTACAAGTCACAAAACAGTAACATTTTCCAGAAAATTAATAGTTTCCTGGCTAGTCCATTACATCCATTACATCTCTGTGAGGAAAATAGTTTGTTTTCTGGCAGGTATGTACCAGATGCTACTGTGTAGAAATGTTGAAATTTTCATTTGAATTGATCATTTTCTTGGCAATTGTATCTCTTCTCAACATAGTGATAGACTTGATCTGATATCTACTAATTTGTGAAGATAAAGAATTACTGTGGCCTAAAATGATGAAGAATTATTAATACGGTTAACTTTATTGTGAAATTTTCACGATTTTATAGTGAACAGTGACACAGTTTTGTAAATCGTTTAGTGAAAATCTCCCATTTATTATAGACTTATATCAAGTATCGTCAAATTCCATTATATACTTTGATATTATTTAGAAAAATGTTGAGATAAAGAGAAATTATGGCAAAAAAATTAATTTTCAAACCACTCAACTTCATGATGTTTTGACTGTCAGAGTTTATCGTCTTTGGTTGATGCCTGAATTATTCTTAATACTTCCCATTTGGGTCAACTGGGAGAGCATTCCCCTTTTTCCTTTTGGATAACACAGTTTTTCGGTTAAGTGCACCGTAGCCCATTTCCCCACTTGATTAAAGTTTTCTTCCGTGGAATGATTCCAGCTTAAGACCACTTGATGTGTTAGTTGGTGGAACCAAATATTCTCCGATTGTAGCAAGTCCAAAAGGTCACTCTGTATTGGTGAGTACGAGTCTCTAAATATTAGGAATATCCCAAAGACGATTTTGTATAATAACAATTGAAACGTTTAATTTTCAATGTTTGTTTGAAGGTGGTTGACAATGTTTCATGGTGAATTTCATTAGTTCGGACTCCCATTGTCTAATATGATATATGATTCGAAATTCCTGAAAGGACAAATAAAATTGAAAATCAAAATGAATAGCTGAAAATAACAATTACATTAAGCAAAAAATTAAAAATTGAACAATTAAAATGAAATAGAATTGAAAGATTTCAAACCAAGTTACTTCACGACGTTTCGATTGTTAGTATCCACAATCGTCTTCGGGTAATGACTGCACTATTCCTCCGAGAGAAGACTATTTATAGGTCATTAGAGTGCTGATTCGCTGATCCGACATCTAACATCAGCGATGAAAAACGAAGAGCCCTGAACGGCCAACGAAGAGTTCTGAACGACCTACCTAAAGATAACACCATCAAGATCCTACCTGCAGATAAGGGAAACGCTACTGTTGTGATGGATACTGGTTTCTACGAACAGAAGATCAAAAATGTTCTTCGGAAGGGACAATACATGAAGATTGTACGGAATCGTACTGCATCAATTGAAAAAGGAAGTTGTACCAGACTTTGAAAAAACACCAAGTCTATTTCTCTCAAAAGGAGACATCGTCGCGCTACAGGAAGCCCCCTCGCTTGTATAGACTACCCAAAATCCATAAGAAGGGTGTTCCACTCACACCGACCATTAGCTCCAGAGATTCAGCTACTCAAAACTTGTCCAGATTTTTACTTCCAATGATACAATCACAAGGAAAAACTTTCATCTTTTGTGAAGAATTTGAGGCATTTGGTCGAATTACTAGGGGCAATCGAAATCAAAGAGCAAGATCAATTAATCATTTTCTATGTGCAAAGCCTTTACACGAACGTTCCTGTCGAAGAAGCACTTCAAATCATATTATATAGAGGATGCTATCCGAAGACAGCGACTTGGAAGATAGAACGAACTTACCTATAGAAGTAATCACGGAATTACTAGAATGCTGTGTACAAACTGCTATTTCCAACTGAAGGACGAATTCTTTATGCAAGATGAGGGACTGCCAATGGGATCACCACTTTCACCAATTATAGCCAACATATAAATGGACTGGTTTGAAACTCTGGCCATTGAATAAACCTACAAAAAGCCCCGAGTCTGGTTGAGATACATCGAAGACACCTTCATAACATGGAACTATGAAAATACAGAACTAGACACCTTTCTGAAGCACATTAACAGTGTAAGACGTTCCATCATCTTCACAATGGAGAAGGAAGTCCACACCGAATTGACATTCTTAGACGTATGGTGAAGAGAACCGACACTAAGTGGGAAACATCTATCACTCACTCACAAGGGACAGTATCTGAATCACGAATCCAACCACCATCAATCCACCAAAAGAGGAATCATCAAGACTCTAGTAGACTGTGCTTTTGGGCTCTGTAAAACTAGGAGGAACTAGGCATCATCAAAAAAGATCTTCAACAGAATGGTTACTCTAAAGTGATGGTGAAACACTTTAGCTAGAAGACAGCAAGAGCCTCGCAAGGAAAAGAAGTATTGGGTCCAAGTATAACATCAGAACCTGCCTCAGATCAGGAAACACTGTATGTAGCAGCCTCACACAAACCAGGCCACCAAACGCATACTGCGATTCCAAGAATTGCAATTACCAGTCTGGCAAATCCTATATTGGTGAACCTATGAGGGCATTGAAAGTTCGCATTGTCGAGCACAAGAAACACACACAGCGAGGAGAAACCATCAAATCGGGGATAGCAGAACATGTTTGACTCATAACATCAAATGGTTCCAAGTAGATATCATCTATAGGGCGGAACACTGGTTTGGGAGGAGATTCAAAGAATCTGCATATATGTTGTCCAATGACGCATTCAGCCAAGCTAGTGTAGAGATACGCAACATATGGAACCAATAATCAAGCAGAAAACGGTCAACTCCCGCCAAACGGCCATCTCCTGCTAAACCGGTGAAGCAGAGAGAGGTAAGAGGGGATAGGTAAAAGCACTTGAATGACCTATAAATAGTCATCTCTCGGAGGAATAGTCGAGTCATCACCCGAAGACGATTGTGGATACTAACAATCGAAACGTCTTGAAGTAACCTGACTTGAAATCTTTCAATTTTATTTTTATAGTAATTTCATTTCGGGGTTTTTTGCTTAATATAATTGTTATTTTCAGCTATTTATTCTAATTTTTAGTTTCATTTGTTCTTTCAGGGATTTCAAATCATATTATTTCATATTAGGCAATGGAAGTCCAAACTAATTTTTATTTTCACTTTCACATTACTGTCATTTTAGCAACCGATATTATTGAGGCATTTCCATTTTAAGTCAAAAAAATTAGTTTTCTTAATATATTAGTTTTTTATATTTTCACTTTTTAGACTCATTAATTTTTTTCATATTTCTGAATCCTATTTTCAATATTTCAAACAAACTAGCGTAATATTTCAGTACAAGTATTTTCAAAATATCATTCATCCATCTTCTCCTAGATCTCAAATCTGTTATCGCTTTTTTAAAAAATGGAGATACGAATATCTGACATTCAAATGGCGATAGAAACTTTTTGAAAAGTTTTTACAGATAATTAATAGGAAGATAATTTCAGATTGTATGTTAATAGTTTTGTTGGGAAATATTTGAGTTAATTCAAACATGAACTTTTCATGAAGATACCAATGGAAGAAGAGTGAGATGCATTAATGAAGGCATTTATTTGCATTCATAATGAAATATTCATCACATCAGTGTGTTTTTCAAGACGCGTTTAAATGTTACGTGTGAAATTTATTATTTTCTGGAAAGTATTTATTTATTTCTTGTTCAAAATGATATGAATAGAATTTCAAAATTATTCATAATTCACTGGGAAGAGTGAGTTTCCTTCAATGTAACTCGCAAGTTTTTAGGAAAACTTTGAAAGTTCACAAATACTTTTTTTCTCAAATAATTTCTCCCTTTATGAAGTGACATATTGGGAAGGGGGCAGCAGAAACACATATTTGCTAATGCTTGCAGGATTTCACTATATATTCTTGTAAACGGTAAATGGCATCTGTCAACTAGCTCTCTGTGCCACCCATTTTGAATAATAATATGAAAAATGGTAGAATGTAACAAACTATTATCAGAATACTTTCGATACTACATGGAGTTGAAAATATGTCAATTAACAGTTATCAACAATTAGATTGTAATATTTCACTAATAAGTTGAGAATAAGTCGCTGTGACTATGAGTATTCATAAAACTTTTAGCTCCCTATCTATCTGTAGCTAGTCACAAAAATGTTCAATTAGTCCCATAAAATAAAAATTATATTCAGATTTATGTTAGAAATATATGAGAATAATGAAAAAAAAATTTCTTCATTATTAGATTTGACAGAACGTGGATCCAAGATTTGTCAAATATTTTGATGTCAGGTGTGAGATATTTATCTCCACCCTTAACATTCCAGTAACACACCCTTACTTTCAATACATGAGGCAGTGTACTGGAGTTACACGACTGTGGCACCCATTTTTGGTTAATTCATGTTTGAACAGTCGAATTATCATATAAAAAAAACATGATTGAAATAGAAGATGCCCAAATTTACATAATTAAGTAGATTATAATTAGGTACATATATATACCTTTCAAAACATCTTTTTGCTGCACTCGTCTATTAGGAAATGGAAAAAATAAAAATTGATTATATTTAATCAAAGAATGTTTCTTTTCATGAAAAGATATATCAATGGAAAACTCAACAGACCAGTTTGATGTATTCAGTAGAGTTACTCTACTCTAAACCGATATATCTGCCTATAAAAGCTGGATGTTAAACGAAAATACTCAATAAATAAAAGTGTTGTGATTGGGTACGCATGTGATAAACTGCAATGTTAAAGTAACCATCAATACAATTTCTCACACCTGTCTGCGTCTAGGTTTTAATCACAATGTAATTTACTTCACCGGCAGTAAATAATTTCAACTGAACACATCAAGCAGAACAATTACTTCTTACAAATCCCAATATTGCATAACCTTGTCTCCTTTTCCAAAGGAAGCAGCTGTAGGTTTTTCGAACTGCAGGATTATAAGCTTACTGAACTTTTTCACTTCCTTATCAAATATATCATCACCAGTATTGTCCAAAATCTTGGAGAGATCCCGTTCTATGCTGGGTAAAGGTGAATTCATGAATTTCGCTGCGTTTGCAACACTTGGTTGAACATGATTTTGTAGAGTTTTGATTTCCCAAAGAGAACTGCTGATGGCGTTGGATTTCAAGGGATCTCGTTCTTCCATTACGTAGGTATCAGTATTGGCTGTATTGCTTTCTGTGTTGTTTAATAAACATTTCAGACCAGGATGTCTAAAAAAAAGGTTATAGTTTATTTTACGGTAGAGATTATTGTTTCGTATTTCTTTTACTTTATACTCTTCCATTGTTGGGTATATACAGGGTGGGCCATCGAAAATTTGACATGGAGGTTTTGGGTACTAATCTTGCAAATCCTAAAAAACGCGCAGACAGGTCGATTTTTATTGGGAGGGGGACAGTTTTTTTCCCATTTACAGCGTCGTCACTTCAACCCCGGAGCAGAGGGATGAACAACCCTAGGAATTGCAATATTAGTTTATTGTGTGCCTTCAAAGTTTCCCAAATTTTTGCTTAGTTGACTTCAGGTTTACTAGGTTTTTCATTTATCTTTCCTGATAATTGTTCAAATAAAACTGTTTCAATCTGTAGTGTATAAATCACTGTTTTTATTAACCAAATGAAACTAATTTTATTTTATTTTCAATGTAATTAATGAAATTCTGTGAAAATCACATGATTTTACTTATCTAGGTATGTAAAATATGAGGGTGGGCTGAATAGTTTCCGACCTAACGAAGATATAAGACATTTTTTCAGATTTATTTTTCAACAGAGTCTTCTTTTAACTCTACACACTTCTCTCAACGACGCTCCCAACTCTGTTTTTTCTTTGTAAAATAATTGTTCACGAAGGTGATTGCCCCTCCGTTTAACGAAAATCTCTGTCGTCTGAGCGCAATTTTAAGATAAGGTAACAAAAAGAAGTCACTTGGGGCTAGATATGGTGAGTAAAGCGGATGAACAAGCAGTTTAAACCGTAATTCGTGGATTTTTCCCATGGCAATGGCTGAGGTGTGAGACGGTTTGTTGTCTTGGTGAAACAGGATTTTATTTTACTGCGAATATGGCCGTTTTTCTGCAAGTTCTGCCTTCAGCTTGTCATGTTTTTTAGGCCTACATGTTGATTTAATATGTGACAAACACGTTCTTTTGACATGTCCATAATCTCTGTTATCTCTCCCACTTCAATTCGACGGTTGTTATAATTTGGTGAACTTTGGCGATGTTTTCATCGGTAGCTGCAGTTTCTGACGTTTCGAACGTTCATCGTCTCCCAAGCTCTTATGGCCATGTTTATATTCAGTTGCCCAAAATTTCAGTAGTAAATGATGGTACAGAGTCCCCATACGCAGAATCTAAGTAATTTTTGATTTGCGTAGGAGTATTGCCTTTTGAAATCAAATATTTGATGACAGCTCGATATTCACTCAAACGACTGTTGAATAACTGCGCGTCTAAAATGGCTGAAACTTTGGTGAGTTACTGTCAACAGATGAACAACGAAATTCACTGGCTTTTATTTACGAGTGCTGCTATCTTCATGTTGATGGCGGAAACTTTTCAGATCACCCTTGTGTAAATTCTACTTTTCAAATTATGAATACACTAACCCATTACTTGATGAAAATCATATCATAATTATACAATTCACACAATAAATTTTATTCAAGAGGCGTTTTGCTACACACTACCTTCATCAGTTGAACTGGTACATCTAACTATTTTTAAATGACTATTATATAACAGTAGGTAATTACAAAATTTAGTTAGATGAATAATTTTTAAAAAACAATTACAATACCATTGTAATAACGACACTACTGTAATCACAATACTATTATTGTATTTACATTTTTTTTGTAAAAACTACCTTTTTTACCAGAAATAAGCATCTATCAAATTAAATTTTGTAAATTGTAATTGTTTTTTCGAAAACAACCTATACAAGCAAAATTGATCATTTATCTAATTAAGTTTTTTAAATACCTACTGTTATATAGAAGACGTAGAACAGTTTGATGTGCCAGTCAACTGATGACGCTACAGTGTAGCGAAACGTCTTAATAATTTATTGTGAAAATTGTATAATTACTCTAATGAATGGTTTCACTTTTCAATAAGACTATTTGTTTTAGATTTTGTTGTTTCTCAAAACAACATGAAAGTATCCAAGGTACCTTTTAACAATCACTTGTTCACCTCAAGAATATAAAATATTCTTGGCCATATTGGAATATTTTTTATTTTGACTAATAATGACATGAATATGTATTAAAATCATTATCACTTCAATGATGATCATTAAAATAATATTTTTATTACCGTCAATATGCTTTGTAAATTCATTTAAATACATGTGAACACACTCGTCTTTTGAGCATTTGGTCAGAATTTGTTTTAATCACTTAAAGAAGTTGAGTGACATAATTTTTCGAACCTTAACTGCTCCTCAACTTTCGACCTTTAAAAAAACAAATAGTCGAAGGAAAAAAATATTTCATTACATTAGCCAAAAATATTTTGAACATATGTTGATTATTCTACAACTTTCCAAGGTTATCAAATTCATTTGAAAAACTGAATCACACAATTTTTCACAATCCCTACAAAAATTATTTCATTGAAAGAGTTTTTCATTGGTGATACCCTGGTCAAAAACTAAAATAACCTACCTAATTTTTTGAATGTGAAATATTCAGTTGTGATTTGAATTATAAAAAATGTTTTTCATGAAGTGGAATTACTCCTGAAGTTTCAAATAACTTACCTCAATATTAAATTCCCAATGAAGTTACATATGATTATTATATCCTCTGATGGTGCTATCAAAGCCAATCTCGCCATCCTTTTAACAAATGCTGCTACCAAGTTTTCTGGCAAATGTGTGGAACTCAAAAACAAGTCAGACAAATGAAACAGTCTGGCTTTGTACTTCGTGTGAAATATTTCTGGTTCAAACATTGAATACAGTTTAGCGAATATATTCGGATAATCTAAATTATGGGTTTGTATCATCGTGAAGATACCCTGAAGTGCAAGAAGGCTGACAGGTCCTCCAACGTCCAAGGAATCCATTAGAAAATCAGTGAGAAGAAGAGGCTTTTCTAGATGAACAAGAACTCTTTCTAGTAGGACTAACAGCATTTGTTTGTGGGTTTGCGGAGTATGCTCCCAATGCATTACGCAATGCCAAACTTTGTTTAAGCACTTACTTGTTGAAGCTTCATCAAATGTAAAGAATGGAGCACCTGCAATTGGTGAAACAAGGTCATTAAAAAGAATGTATAAAGTATTTAATTAACTGAAAAAATAAACATTGTTATCAAGGAGACATTCCTATATGGACGGTTATCAAAATAATTGGATGTTTATGCAATTTACTTCTACACTCCATCACTAATTAAATACAGTCCTGAATTTGGATGTTTCCATCTCAAATAATCTAACGGCCTGGTAACAGATTTCTACACTACTGCACATCTTGAGGGAGGAGCTTCAAACCAGCCATGACTCAATCCAGCAGCTGTACAACAATTATGACAATCGCCTATATAAAAAACATCTTTCGACCAAATAGTTTGTGATTTTGGAATATTTTCTATTTTGACTAATAATGACATGAATATGTATTAAAATCATTATCACTTCTAATCAAATTCAACGCTTTGATGAAACGTTTATTTTTCGTGTGGTACATTAGATACTTAAACTGAAAGGGGAAGGAAGAAAGCAAGAAAATTCCAAAATAAACTTTTCAAATAGATGTGTAGTTCATGCATAGAAGTTACTTTCGTATACAAACTGGACGAAAACTCCCTCTCAAAACAACTACTTTCATATAAACATTTGATTACATGAAAGCAAAAATACTTTTGAAACAACTACTTTGATATAAACCATTTTTGTTGATACTTCATCTTATACTTCATATATACTCACAGTTCTCGATACCGCACAAAATTTTGGTTTCAGTATTCGGATAAATCTGCAACTTTTCCAAGAAAAGAAGATAATTCATAATGTAAACATCGTTTGGGTTACACTTTGCAGTAAGTGAAGGTAAAATCTTCCAGGTGAAAAATAATATATCATCAAACTGCAAATATTCAGTGTATTTACTAATTAAATGTGTATTATTTTGTTTATTGGAGAGAATTCTCATGAGAACATATTTCAGTTTTGTTAAAGGAACATAATTATCCAATGATCCTTTGGGTTCTAGGGGGTACTTTCCTTCCCAGGCTATTAGACTCATAGCTGTACACAATCCTGTAACAATAAAGAATAATAATAATATTAACAATCATGTGGGGCTTCTGTGTGGGAAACACATGTTTTCTCTCCAAAAAAGTTGTTTCAAGGACAAAACACAAGCACTACCAGGAAATCCTTAAGGTGCTCTAAGAGCGGTGCCTGTGCGAAAATAGCGATTCACGTTGGACTTGAATCGCTGGAGATTGAATGAAAGAGTTCTTAAACAGTGAAGTTTGAGGTGTACTGAGTTGAACTGAGTTGAACGATGAGCAGCCACAGTCTGTCACATATTTCTAATATGGTGGAATCAAATGTGCCAAGTCACTTGAACACTTCCCGTGAAAGTATCTATAAAAGAGAGACAAATCTCCGACCTTTCTTCAATGTTCCAGACTATCAAGGTTGCAAATGATGTTCGCGTCTCAAATCAGGCGATGACTCTTTTCTGGATGGAATCCAGCAGCTTCAGGGTATGCTTGGATACAGAGCTCTATACATGAGAAAAATACTCCAAAGAAGGTCTGATTTGAGCTTTATAAAGCATAAAAAGTTGTTGGGGTGTGTAAATTTTTGAGAAGCAGCCTCTGCAATTCCAGCTAACTATCTCAATTCATTATTCAAGAAGCTAATTTTAATTAATTTATCAGAGGATAAAGCATTTTCATGAAATCAACATGAGAAGGAGAATAGATACTGTATGAAAGTATTTATGAAGATATCATTTAATTTCTTACCTTGCGTTTGAATTTTGTAAGAATTATGTTCACAACATTGCAAACATTCTGTAAAAAACTCCTCATAAACATTTCTCAGCCATTCCTTACGTTGATTTTCTATGGTATTTTCAACGGGTTTCAACGGAACAATCTCTATAAACATCTGTTTTTCTTTGAGGAGAGTTGTGAATATCATTTCCAATGTTACTAAACATTGTGCTTGGTATCCAGACTTGAAGTGATTCAAGATATCTATCAAACTTTCCGTGTTTCTAGAGGTCAAAAATTCTTGGGCCTTCATCTTCAACTGTTTTGAAACTTTTATCGGTCTTTCCTCTAGAGACATTTTCTGCGATTTTCAGAGCAAAAATACTCTACAAGAAAGTTGACTTTCAGAGAAGGAGGTTAAGAGAATAAATTTCTGTCACTTGTATATTTACACTTTTCAGGATAACCAACCATAGAACCACAGAATAACATTCTGTGATAGAATTATGGGGAGGTAGATATACATAGGATAGGATAGGATATTCACGTTAAGAAGAGAATGACGTCACAAAATGACAAGTTACGGCGTTGCCAACATGTGCACTACCTCGAAATTTCAATTTTTTTTGTAATATTGATTTGTTTCATTGCTATCAACCTTACTTAGTTGGAATACAAATTTGAATATTACTGGAGTTTTTTCCCAACACCAAATCGTTATTTTTAACACCTCGACACGTGTTTCGATCACCAGGTGATCATCTTCAAAGAGGAAGATTTAATCTTGGTGATCGAAACACGTGTCGAGGTGTTGAAAATAACGATTTGGTGTTGGGAAAAAACTCCAGTAATATTCATTACTACACCAAAGGTTCCAAACAGTACATCATAAGGAATACAAATTTGTTGAGACTGTTTCGACAATGTTTTAGGCATATTGAATATACGCAGATCTCATCAAAAGAAATGATTAGTTCTGAAAAGAAAAAGAAATACTGACGGTTTCCGAGTTTTTTTTTTTCGATTCGGCAACGTCTGAAATTCAACTACCAGTTGAAATTTAACTAGTTTCGTTGCTATTGAACGCATTTCACTGCGAATTTTAACGTTGTTATGTTGGATATACAAAACACCAAAAATGACGTGTCTCTTCTCAACGTGAAAAACCCTCCATACATGCAAAGAAAAGATACGGCATTGACTATTAGGATCATCAGGATCATGTCTCTGCAAGTCCAGATGAACATTTCTTGGAGAAGCATTGCCAGCAGATCATGTTTCCATGAGGGCAATAAACCGTGAGAACGATTGTTCCATAATTCCTCCTAAGTTCCAAAAATGATGTGAGATTTTTTTGTCTTCTTAGAGTGGATGAGTCTTTTGAGTATGTATTCTTCTGATCAATGCTTTTATTCGAATCAGTACCATTATAATCGATCCCAAGATGAATCCGAATATTGAGCTGTTATTGGTATTATCAGCTGTATCGATCCTTTATAAATTATTCTGTTAAAGCTAGATTTTACTTCAATGATTTGAATTCGAAAAGCACACTTTGATGTGAGATTTTTGTGAAATGTTACCTCCCTATTCTTTGTGCTGTTCCTACAGTGCAATATGCTACAATTTCAACTACCAATTTGTTGACTGTTTTCAGTCGAAGTATTTATCATATGATGAAAAATATGATCTTCACTTGCATTATATAAATCTGTTATATGTCCCTGCATGCCCCATCCCGGGTTGAATGCCTTGAGTTGAAATCTTCTCCACACGGTTATTGTGTGCAGAACATCCCAACTCGTCTATCCACCCCCGCTCCTCCGGAGCGGTCGTCAACTTACTGATGGGCACTTCAGCAAGATTGACATCTAACATCTAACCTCCTTCAGTCGATAGTCAGTTTTTAGGTGCTATTACTTTCTAATCTAATATTTTGTTTTATCTTGGCTTTCCTAACTGAATTTTTGCATGGGGTCCCCAAAAACTTACCAGGGACTATTGTTCGCTGTCAAATGTTTCTCGTTGAACCTGAAAAGAAAGTTTTTGTTATCTGTAAAAAAAATTATACTTACCGGAGCCGCCTGACAGTGACTCTCGGAGGTAAACGTTGGTTCTGCCTGGTTGACCTTCTATGTTTATCTCTGTCTCGGAATCTGCCTGTTGCCTGTTTAGTGCATTGTGTAGATCGTATAGCGCTGGATTGTCGTGCACTCGAATTCTGTCAAACGCGCCTTGTGCGTGTTGTCTAATATATGGTCTGGATCCCGGAATATATACCTATTCGGTACATATCTTGAAGCGTTTACGGCGGGCCTTACGCACCTCTTATATGAAAAATTTTTAATTTCGGTCAAATTTAAAGTTTCTACATATCTTCTTCTTACATAAAAAATCAGTGTTGCCAATGAAGAAACTCCTGAAAATATAAAAAACATGCTTGAGTATAGTAAATTGATTTTTTGTATATGTCCATGCATGTTTTTTTGCGCAATAAGGTACATTAGTGTAGCAGCAAAGATTATTCAGCAACACTGATTACAGTGACATCAGTGACTCGTGACCTTATACATAATAATGTATGGACTGGGCATGACGTCACATTTACATATATTCCATCTGCGGGTCACACAGCATTATGTGACGAATCAAATCCCAAAATTTTCACATAGATATATGCACACGTAATACATCATGACGTTGTATTAGATATGAATGACTTTGAATCAGATATGTATCAGTGTATGAGTGACGTAAATGCCAGGATGTGAATATCTTCATTTCCATGGAGTCACTGTTCTCTCTTCCCTTATTTATTATTACGTCACTGCTCGTGACAGTGATTTAAACTTCAAAGTATAATGTAAATATTATAAAATATTTTTATATATTCAAAAAGTGAAAGGAAGAAATCAAGAAGGAATAAGTTGAAAACGAAATGATACAGAACTTCTATCTAAAATGAGCAAAAATGCAACAGTACTGAGTTACAATGAAAGTTTGTTAAAAGAGTCTGATGTTGATTTACTAAAAGGACCTTTCTGGCTGAATGATACAATAATTTCATTCTATTTCGAATATTTGGAAACGGACCTATTTCGACATAACAAATCTTTGCTGTTTGTTTCACCCGAAGTCACACAATGCATAAAAGTATCCCCTGAACGTGAATTGCATGTATTTTTAGATCCCCTTGTTGCTCTGACAAAAAGAGATTTTATTTTCTTTGCATTGAATGACAATGAGTTGACGGATTCATCTGGAGGCTCTCATTGGAGTCTTTTGGTTTTCTCAAGACCGGAAAGAATGATGTTTCATTATGATTCGTCGAATAATTTGAATGAGTCCCAAGCAATAGATTTAGCTGAGAAGATTTTGAAGTATTTTTCTCTTCCTATTCAGGGAAAATTTGAAAATGTGCCTTGTCTTCAACAAAATAATGGGTATGATTGTGGAGTTCACGTGCTGTGCAATGCAGAACAACTAGCAAGTTATGCAGCACATTATGGACGAATTAGAGGATGTCCAAAGTTGCTTTATGAAAATGTTGTTGCTAAGAGATGGGAAGTATTGGATATCATTGAAAAATTAAAGGAACAAGGATACGTGAACACTTTTTGAAGCAAAATAGCTGTTTACTGTACAAGCAAGCATATTTATTATCAACAAAATTATCACTTTTATTGTGAAAGTTTTTTATTAAAAATCAATTTATTTGTCAGTTTTTTGTTACCACTAGTGAATGATGTGTGATTTGTATACTTCAAGAATCTATTTAGAGCTCATGTTATTTAACTTCCAAAAGTTATCTACTTTTCACAGATAAATTCAGGTGAAATTTGGAAATCATTCTTAATAACCACCTTGGTTATATACTACACATATTAAACCCAAATCTCTTTAAATCTCAGGTTATATAAAAAAAGATTTCAGAGATATATCTTGGGTAATATTCAGGGACTATGCACAGATATAATCACTGCTATGGAAGTAACACTTTATTGTGACATTTTCACTGGATAGTTTATTACAAAACCGCAAATCACCGCAACACGTGTTGTTTGTGGTTCTGTAAGCTGTCTAGTGAAAATCTCACAATGACATGCTACTTGAATACCTTCTCTGCCATCAAGGTCCGACACATTGAGAATGTTCCAACAAAAAAAAACTGGTTCTATAGACCGAGATACAAGTTGTCTCATACGCCATATGAGACCGAGATAATTTTTAAATTAGGTATAAATTAGACCACTGTTAAAACAGTGGTTCCCAATTTTATTTGGTCATGAAACCCTAATTGAGCATACATTTTTTGACGGAACCCTAGCAGTTTATTTTGATAAGTGAAGTGTTCACTTATTAAAAATTTTTGAATATTTTCATGTTACGACTCTGCTTTTATTTATTTTTTGTGTAAGCGTAAGCTGAAATTCCAGACTTGCATCGGTAAGTCGTCACAAACGGAAGCAGAACTGAAATAGGTTTTTCAATAATGCAGGGTATTTAGATCTCCGACAGAGGGTGCGAAACTCCTGAGAAAGTAGTGACTTTTTTATTTATTACTGATTTTGAACAGAGTTTTGCCAATATGCCAAATATGGTGTACATGTATATCACTGTAACATTTATCATGTTGTTGACAAAAGTAATGAAAATATATACATTTTTTATGATAAATGAAAATATTTATCACATACTCTCTCTTCAACATCCGACCCAGAATAATATTTTCACACATGAAAAAGTTTGTACAATAACTAACATGTAAAGGGCAAATAAGCATCAGATCATTTGATAAAATAATTCCGTCAAAAGAGACAGTCGGACCGCACCCAAATAAAGTTGCAATATGCTGACTCAAACTATTAGGTACACTAATACAAACATATCCCAATTTCAAGTATCACAATAAATATGTATTTTCAAAAAATTTCGATAACACCGACTCAGTTTTGAATTAATCTATACAATGGATGTTTTATTTGGCTTGTTAAAAAAACTGGTAAAAGTCCATTGACATATTATATTTTGCAGACATTGGTATGTCATATCCCATAACTTTTATGTCATGTACAACTTCTATCTACCTATGAATTTTCCCAAACTTTCTGAATATCTAGACATTATGGTACATGACAAAGAAATAAACGAGATACAATATAAAGCACTTTTATTATTTGTTTGACATATAAAGTTTATAACAATTATAAAAAATAATGCACAATCTCATAGATCACATAAACCACTATATAAATATACTTTAGACAAGGGTTTTTCTTGAGAAAATAAACATTTTGATTCACCAGAGGACACTGTGTTTAATGAATAGATATATTCAACACCAGGGCCGTCGCGACAGGGGGTTTGGAGGGGTCCTTGACCCCCCCATCAATAATTGTCGAATGACAGTTGGGAATTTGTGGGTGAAAAAATATGCAAGTTGGGAATATTATTGCTGTATATAAAGAGTCAGGAAATACAAGAATGAAGAACAATTAAATACGATTTGAATTTCCCAACTTGTTAAACTCTAACTTGAACATTTCCCAATTCATTCGTGAAGGGCAATAGGTTTTTTATCCTTCAAAACAAGGGAGGTAATAGTTGAAGAAACAAGATATATGCGCATCAATACATTGCCAAAGGTTCATGGCATAAATGCGGAAATAACATGTTATAACATTTATTAGACTAAACATATAAAGTCCACCTAACAGTAACAAAACTATCTTTATATACATTGGGAAAAATTTGATTTCTTGTGAAGATAAGTCAGTTTTGAATGACAACAGAATGTTTTTGCACAATAACACTTTATTGTGAGATTTGCACTGAACGGTTTACAAAACCACAACACGTGTTTTGCTATACAGTAGCTTCCTCAGGCGTTTTCCTACTGACAAAATTCTACTTAATTAGTGCTTTGTGTAATGTAAAAGTAACTTCCTTCTATGCACGATCTACACATCTTTTGTTATAAATTTATTTCGAAATCAATAGCTTTCTTTTTTCTTTTGGAAGTTTACCACATTTTTTGTATCAAGATAGAGAAGTAGAAAGCCAAAACCTTTCTTTTCCAAAAACTAATCTCTTCTAAAAATATACCCCTCTAATGTAATTTTACAATTTGAATCATTTGACCTTCTATCATTGTTACCATATCAATTCACCTGAGTTAATGTATAAACTAACGAACATTAAATGGACAAGAAATAAATCATTTACCAATTTCCACCCAAGAAAACAGATTCAACAGAAAATGAGTTGGTAATATTTAAATTCTCAAATAGTTTATATTTGATCTCTAGTAAAATTATTAGTCATTTTGTAATGCTTTGATTTTTAATTAGTTTATTTTGTATTATATTCATATTATATTATGCACTGATTAGATAGAATTTGGTCAGTGTGAAACGCCTGAGGAAGCTATTGTGTAGCAAAACAGATGTTGCGGTTTGGAAACTGTTCATTGAAAACCACACAGTGTTACTTGAATATATTATGGATAAAACAGAAACAGATTTTAATCAAGTTTCGATCAATTTCATCACATGTTTTTCAAAAAAGCAAAACCAGGACTATCCAAGAGTTACTGTTGCCAACGACTGCTTCAGAAAATTCAAAAATAAAAACTGATTGTCCACTTAAAAAGTTGATTATTGTTTAGTACATCGTCCGTTTTCAGGAAATTTAGTCTTCAAATTCATCTAGCAAGAATACAAGAGATGATGTAGAGTGTTCGCCATGAGCAGTTAACAATTCTCACAATAACTAACTATTCTGATAGATTCCATAGAAAACATTTTCGAGATCTTATTGCACAAATTTGATGATTTTCAGTTGTAATTATAGGCTGATTTAATACATGTAATATATAAAAAACGTATCTGAGGTGATATGCAAATAAGTTGTTTTGGATGAGCTAAAGAGAAATGAAAGTTGAAAAAAAAACTGTAAACGATTCTCCCCATTTCGTATCTGGTTTTTCTCATGTTTGAGTTCTACAAGTGATTTTTAGATTGAAGTCACAAATAAGAGATCAAGTTTTATCATATCTTAACTTTTTAAAATTAAAAAATGATTTTCACTATGAAAACAAAATAAATGTTATTAGTATGTTTTGATATAGATATATTTTTATCAAGTATCGGCCAGTTCCATTCAATAATTGAAATATGATTTTGTACTGGGTTTTCATTAAAAAATCAGGTTTTGCACAACAAACACTTTTCCTAATTATCAGAAAGGCAATATTCTTCCCGCGTTTCAAAACAGCAATTACACTCTTCAAACAGCCCAAGTCTTTGCATATGATGATTTAGATGATAATAACCTGTAAGTAGGCCTGTTAGACAACGTATGTCATTCCTGCTGTAGTCTAACAATTGTTTGGTAAATTACTTTGAAAGGTTTAAAAATGCCCTGGATTGGGCCTATCCTTTTAGACATTAACGAAATTTTGAAACTCATATTACAGTCCAGGTGTTCAGTATTTGTTTGACAAAGCCTAAAGCGATGCCAAATACAAGTTATTCTGGTCCGATGAATTTGCTTGTATCGCCCCAGCTTGTAAGGGAGTCAACAGCCTAATTACCTTTCATGTCAATGTGGTAAGGAACCCGTACCAGAAATAATTTAATTTAAGCATTTCTATCGAGGAGTCTTTTTTTGGCAGTGTACTACCAACTTGTACATTGCTAGGTGAGAACTAAGTACTTCCAAAGCCAATAATTCACACAAATCAATGACGTAGATTTTCACATTGGTCCCTAGGCAGGCACATATCTCTGTTTGTGTATGAACCTGCACCAGAACCTGAAGGTTTTTTGATTCATGTGTTAATCAGCAGTTACCTACCGGAGATTTAGCATAGTACTGTGGAAACTGAGTGTACTGAGGTACTGAGGAAATCGTACTATAAAGTACAAAAATGCAGAAGTTGGCAGGGAGGCTAATAGAAATTTTCCATGAAAAAATATTTCGTCTTTTTTAATCCATCCTTATATGCATGTACAAAGGAAGACAATTCTGATACTTGCGTAAGATTTTTTAAGAATCAAGAATGATATCAAACTTCTCTATAAGATTTTATGGATATTCAAGGCAACCTACATAAGCTTTCTCAGAGTCACGATTAAAGAGAACAAAATCCGTGATCGAATGGAATCTGAAGTACCAAACGTTTCGTTCACTACTGCCGCAGTCATCAACAGTGGTGTGTGCGTTGACTGCAAGAACGAAGGTTATACTTTGAAGTTAACGCAAATACCACTGATGATGTCTGCTAACATAACTAGAGAGAGATGAAGCTTATGAAGAATTCAAGGGAGCAATAACCCATGATGAGAAACAATTAAAGTAGTTCATCTACAAAAGTTTGAAGTACCAAGTCATTAACCCACCGACAAAGAAGAAATCAGAATTATATCAAAATGGAATCCTTAACTGTATGAAAGATTGAAAAAAAATTTTGAAAACTTTGAAGTTGATAATGAAACCTGACCATAATTCTATTCCCAATGAGATTCGATTCAACTTTCAACACAAAACCATTGCTGCAAAATCGAATGATAACAAGGCAGAAAATTTCAATTTTCTTTGGCACAAAATATTTTAGACATTAGAGCAAATATTCCTGCATATCCTTCTTGGCCCAACATGGCTTCACAAGTCATTAAGAACTCGATGACAAAATATAATCTAGTACCATGCATGAAATAAAAATATTATAAATCATCTTGACAGTAAATCCAACTCTCGTTATCAATGATAAAGTAACAGTATGATAAAAGTAATAAAACATATTATTTTGAATTTTGTCAACACACAAGACCTAAAAACCAGAACTATTGTTTCAGTGCCAAAAGTCAGTATTACTACTGAAGCCAAAAGTTTTCGTCCTATTAATACCCTAGCATTGGAAAAAGTCTTAGAAGTTGCTATTTATGATCAGGTTTATGAATATCTCGAAATTGTTAAGCTTTTAATGAAACAACAGACTCGTTTCAGTTCTATAAAATCTTGTGAAACGGCTCTACAACTAAATGGAAGTTATTAGTAGGTTAAAATTAGTTGGCAGTAGCATTATATAGTTTTAAAAGGGCCTTCAAAACTATTGATTTTCCAATGGTTCAGTAGCTATCTGTTAACTAGGTTTCAATGTATAAAATAAATGATTCACACTATCAAAAATATCAACCTTCATCAACATCAATAAACTCGAGTTGAATATTAGTAAGACTCAAGCCACGATCATTGCAAGGTACAAATATAACGCCATCAACGTACAGTGAATAATACAATTTTTGGTGACTCAATCGAAAAAGTTGAACAATATGAACATTTGGGTTCCATTATTACCGATACGCTGAACCTCAAACAACACTTCCAATATATATCTTATAATTTGAAAGGGGTATATTTTTAGGAGAAATTAAATTTTCGGAAAGGTTTTGGCTTCCTACTTCTCCATGTTTATACAAAAAATGAGGGAATCTTCTGAAGAAATGAAGAAAGCAATTGGTTTCAGAATAAACTACTTAAACATATGTGTAGATCATGCAAAGGAGTAACTTTCAGACACGAACTGGAAGAAAAAGTCCTCTCGAAACAACTACTTTCATTTAAACTTTGAATTACATGAAAGAAAAAATACTTTGGAAAAAAAAATTTTTTATTAGTGATGCGCCAAATATACGTTTGGTATTCGGTATCTTTTTCACTATTTGTATTCGACCAAATCATTCGGTTTTGGTACTGAATATATTCGGTTCAAGTATTTCTGTTTTATTGACTACACAACACGGTATAGAACTAACAGAGAAAATTCTTATGCAGGATTTATGTTATATTATAAGTCAAAAAAATCTTATGAAGAATGTGTTGAACAGAGCTGATACAATAAAGCAAATAAACTTCAAATTAACATTTCTTTTTAAACTTCAAATTGAAACAATATTTATTTTTAAACTTTAATCAACATTTATTTTCAAACTTAAAATCAACATTTTTTTAACCTCAATCAAATCTACATTTTTAGGCCTCAAATCAATTTTAAACCGAATAATTCAGCCGAATATCCGGTTCAGTAAAGGTTAAACCGAATAATATTTGGTAGTCGGTGAAACCACTATTCGACGCATTACTAATTTTTATATAATCATTGAACGAACCTTTTTCCTGAAGTACGAAAAATCACTCACTAGCAGCGCTAGTAGTTCGGTAGGGACAAACACTGCTTGATACTCATATAAACATATGGTTAAAGTACAATTAAAAAAGAATGTTTTTAACAGAAGATGTTCCTGGAGCAAAACTGAACTTTGCAACTGTAAAGGATAACAATGTTGTAACATTAAAAGGTTGGCTTGCATTCCCGTAATTTGAATGTAACTGAAAAAAAAGTGAATTAATAAACAGGTTAGTATACAGACTCTTGTAAAAGAGTAGCGGTAGATTCAAACTGTAATGAAAGAAATCTAAAATAATTATGAATTTCAGATTTATTTCCGAGTGAAATAGTGAAGTAGATAGTAATGAAATAATTCAATTAAATATAATGAATGAGTATAATTTAATAAACGATTGAGGTTATATCTCATTCTAATCAATGGTAATTAACTATGAAAAACTTACTATTCATTTTATGTTTAGAGCATACATATGAATATTTATTTATTTATTGCACTGTTAAATCTACTCTCCTCAAAGCATGTATCCATTTCTTAAATCTAACCTCATTAATACGAGTTTTTATAAATGGTATAAAAAACACGTTTTCTTCCGGATATCGATTATCCAACGTACAATTCGCAAAACAGCAATGCTTTATTGGCATTATACTAGCACAATATAATTTTTTATATCAAATTTATATTTTTAAATGATGAATTGATATTACGTAAATAATACTGTTTTACATGTGAATAGTTTACTATTACTAGTGCTGCCTCTCATGACACGTTTGATGTACTATTCTCAGGAAAAAGGCTTATTATATATAAAACGCTTTTTCCTATTCGGTTTGTACTCCAAACATTTGTTATGGAATTGATTCAGATATCATTGACAGGATTGCTACACAATATAATATATGAAAGATTCCCACATTTTTTTGTATGGAGATTGTGGAGTGGAAAGTCAGAAGCTTTCTTTTCCATATCTGATAACATTTCATAAAAATAATTTCTTTACCTGCATCAATAAATATTCAACTTTCCCAAAATCAGTTATTGTATTCGAAAGAATAATTCAATCTCACTTCGAATATTATCCTACATTATTATCATTGCTTGATAATAACTCTTTAGCATCTCCACAGAAACTTCAAATCATAGGAATTTTTTTGGGTTGTAATCGAAATACCACCATTATAACAATGCTTCATGTGTTTGACTGGTTATCAGTAAAAAACAGCTTGTTTCACTATTCATTTATGTTTTCACTCAAAATAACCATTCTCTATTCCACAAAGGTTTTCTAGAGTATAACAAACTTCCAGCCGAATTGAAGCAATGCAATACTTTATCAAACTTCAAACATGAGTTAATGAACTTTCTTGAATTGGAGAACAATGTTTTATTATACTCGAATTATGTTGTTATGTGGTTGGTTTATTGAATAACTATGTATTTGGAACACAGTTTTTACAGTAAATTTTATCACAGAAAGTTACCCGAGTTTTGTGTAATCTGTTTTCGAATATTAGATGAAATTTAGGGTCCCCAACTTGAAAGTAAAGATTCTGAAAAAAAAAAAATGGAAACAATTCAAAGTTATTGTTGAGGTGTCATCTTTATCTCGGACATACATTATTCAATGAATTGGACATCGCCGTAAGAGAAACGCTTGATATTTCTATCTTTAAGGAACAATTGGAAACCTCGTATCTAACAAAAATTGCTACACTTTCAAATTTTTCTTGCAAATTAATAATTTCTTCACTATATGTGTGTTATTCATTTTACAACTGTATGTTAGACCATCAGTAATGATTGTGATTGTATTATCAAGGCTGCCGTGAAGCTGTATATTTATATAATATTGAAAACAGAACAAATCAGGAAGTGATGAAATCAATGTTACCATGGCAACTAGGTCAATTTTTCGAAATAAGATTATATAAGGTAGTAGCTATCAATTTTTGTGATCACAGACGATTTATTAGTGATTTTAAAATGGATTCAAGCAACAAAGAAAGTGTGAATTGTATTCCACCAGAAATAAGTAAAGCAGCTGAGGATGTAACATTGTGTTCATTGCCAAAAAATCCAAAAAAATATACGGCAAAGTGTATGAAGAATTCGCGAGGTGGTGCAACAGGAATAATGTAAAAAATAAGAATTACCCAGAGATTGTTGTTCTTGCCTATTTTTTGAAAAAATTTAAATATCATAAGCCCTCTTCCATTTGGTCATATTATTCCATGCTAAAAGCTACTTTGAATGTACATGATAATAGAGATGTAGATACGCAAGATTGATAGCTTTTTATAAGTTAACTACAGAATAATTCAGATATATGTTTCAATAATTTTGCATTTATTGAAACCATCGAAATGTAGTAGATTTCTATTGATATGAGACTGAAATGAACTTAAGCGCCTGCTCAACGTTTTTATCGCCCGCCGGGCGGTAAAGTAGTCCGCAGACGCTAAAGTGCTACTTTACGCCCGCAAATCCGAGCGATAAAGTGCTACTTTACGCCCGGTCGTGCAAAAAAGAAATTTTATACTTTAATAACGATAGAAGTGAATATTGTTATTATTATTATTGACGGGGATAAGTTTCAATTAAACTGCTTGAATGTCCAAGGTAACAGAAAATAAAAATGAGGTTTTCAAAAGTGTAGCTGAATATGATTCGTCCACAACACCTTTTGGGAGCCATTAGATGAAGAACGTGTTTTTGCAAGCACTGTGCCTGAACTATCAATGGCCATTTGTAAGAATGGAGACATTATCTATGGGATCTATAGAAAATTCGAATCGCCAATATTATAGATCAATGAGTTCCAACTGTGGTATGACGTAAAGCCAAGCTCAGACATCGCATGTCAAATAATAAATTTCTTTTTGTTTCTCTCTCGGCAGCTTTGGACTCAATGACCTCCAGACCTATTGCTGCATTGCCTTTAATAATGTTTAATCAAGATGAAAAATGAAACGTTTTATAGAAATCATGAGAACTGAATTTTCAGTAGAGAACAAACGTAAAAGCCTTCAACAACCAAAATTTTCAATAAAAATATCTGAAGCACCTATTAGAAAATCAGACACCAATAGTTCACCCTAATTCGTAAAGGCATTGTGCAAAAATTAATAACTCCTTAGACCTTTATGGCAGGTGGCACCCATCCTCCGAACGCTTTTTCCAGCTCCCGCGCTACAGCCAAACATAGCCTATCATTTCCTTCTGCAGACACAACCTGCACACCAATCGGGAGGCCATTTTTGTCCAACCCCATGGGGCAATGAGTGGCAGGAAGTCCTAAGACATTTATCACAGCAGTGTAACTGAAATTGAAGGGTTTAATGAGAGGTTCGTTGTGATAAGGAGCAGCCGTGGGATGCGTGGGGTACAGAAACACCCCATCATCTCCAAGAAGGTCCAGAAGTTCTCTTCGGAGATCATTTCTCTCATTCACTAGATAGTCGTACTTTTCGTCGCCATGCTTGATGCCTCCGTTTTCAAGTAAACAAGTGGCAATCGCAATGAAGGTATGTTCGGATTGACGAAAGACCCATTTGAGAAGTTCCATATATGGATTTATGGAGCCATCGAGATTGGCCAGTTGTTCTTGGAATTTTGGTCCATTTGGAGATTTCATGTTGGCAAACCACATTGGACTGCTTTTGCTGAATCGTTTGTAGGAAACCTGAAAATGAAAAACGACACAAATGAAAAATAAGAAGAAGATATACTTTGTATACATTTCACTCTCCACGATAATAATAACACAATTTTCACAAAGAATTTAATTTCTAGGCACGTTTCCCTAACACAGTAGCTTCACGGGTATATATTTCATGAATAGAATAGAATTTATTCATCGTTAAAATATCATACACATATAACATATACATTACTGGTACAATATTTATCAGACTAGTCACACAAACTGAAGAAAAAGCAGCTTATATATTCATATCTAAAAATTCTTCCACATTGTAAAAGGCATTTTCTAGGAGAAGGTCTATTAAAGCTTTTTTGAATGTATTGTAATTTTTAATATTTCCTAGTAACATAGTTGCTTTGTTACAACAAATGACTCCTTGATAGCTTGCCGAGTCTTGCCCAAGGGCTAATCGTGAGTAAGGTAGTCTCAGTTCATTTCCTCTGCGAGTACTGTGATCATGTATCATACTGTTTTTTTGTATGGTATGATTCATTTCTTTTGATATTCATAGTTATGAGCAAAATATATAAAAACGGTAGTGTTAAAATAGCTAGATCTTTAAAAACTGTCTTGCAGCATGATTGTCTACAATGTATGCCAGCAAACCATCTATTTATTTTTTTTGGATAACAAACACTTTTGTTAGGTATGCTGAGTTTCCCCAGAATATTAACCCATTTGAGATATTAGATTGTACTAATCCGAAATAGGCCAATTTGAGTACTTCTAGAGATACTGTTCCATGTAGTTGTCTTTTTATGAAGCAGATTCTACTCAGTTTTGTTATTAGATAATCTGTGTGTTTTCGCCAAGTTAACTTCTGATCAATTACTAATCCTAGATAATTATATTGATTCATCTGCTCTATATTAGTGAACAATGATCATTAGTAAGATTCTTTTGTTGATAATTCATGAAAACAGTTTTATTCACATTAACAAGTAGACCGTTATTTGTGCACCATTGTGAAAATTCATCGGCAGTTTTATTTGCAGCTTGAACAGAGAGGAGAAGTTCATTTTCTGCTACTATTTGATAGGTATCATCAGCATATATATTATTATTTTTTGTGAAGATACACATGGATTTTCAATACCACTCATAAATATTATAAAGAGAAGCGGAGCCAATGTTGAGCCTTGTAGAATTCCTAATGAGACAGAAGATGGTTGTGATTTTATTTCATCTATATCATATTGAATCTAACAAAAATATAATGAATAAATTTTCCATGTCGATGTGACTGCATTCAGCTGAACGTTTTACTTCTTTATTTAATGAAGAAAAAAACTTCATGAAATAGTAAAGCACTTTTTTTTTATTGAGAATAAAAAAACATGATGTGGCAGATAATTAAAGAAGAAACGGGTTCACTGCATTGTAATCAGAAAGATACTGAAAATCCGGGAGAAATGGCCAATAATTTTAACAGCCATTTTGCAAATTCAGCTCTCACAACACAAAATAATATCGGTAAAGTGAGCGGTTTTGAGAAGTCGATAGCCTCCAATAGTTACACCTTGTTTTTGAGTCCAGTCACAGAAAATGATTCAATAGCAATTGTAAAAAATATGAAAAACAAAATGAGCTGTGGAATTGATGATGTTCCAATACTTATCATTAAAAGCTTTATATGAAATAGTTAGTGTTTTAACTCATCTGATAAATATGTCATTCAAGCAAGGTATTTTTCCTGATTATTTGAAGACAGCTATTATAAAACCACTACATAAGAAAGGAAGTTGGTCAGATATTAATAATTTCAGACCACTCAGTCTTTTGACATACATGTATATCAAAACTATTCGAAAACGCAATGGCCATGTTAGTAATTTAGGATTCATAATTGCAAACAAAAAAAGATATGCTTTTTGACAAACATAACAAGAGATGAAAAATATAAGAGCACAGTGAGTGTTCTAAGTTATCTAAAATGCACGAACAGGTGTATCCAGATTTCAACATGCAAGTTGCCATCAACGGATATCTCTCGAATACTTTTACCATCAACGCTGGTGTTCCCCAGGGATCTATATTGTCTCCACCCCTATTTTCATTGTCTATCACCGACTTATTGGAAAACAACAACATTCTATATTTTCTTGACTTATTCAAAAGTGTAACGAAATACAGGATGTTCGGTTTAAAAAACACAACTTCGATTGTCACTTTTTTGAGCCACCCTGTAGACTCAAAAAATTCTTTTGCAGCCTTAATCAATATACATATAATGGAATGGAGAAATTCTCGAAAAAATTATTGGTTTGGTTTACAGGGACCGTGTCGTATGGGGTGCCCCACCCTGTATACTTTTTTGTATGATGAATATTTTGTTCGAACTAATGGAAGTACCCCAGAAAGTTATTCTATATCTGATAATCAATTGTACATGATTATATTTCAAATTAGACGAACAGCAATGAAAATGTGAGTTTCATATACAATTAATTTTGTCTGTAGCTCTATACAAAGATATGTAGATCATGTAAAGGAGTAACTTTCAGACACAAAGAAGCCCTCTCGAAACAGCTATTTTCATATAAATATTGAATTACATGAAAGAAAAATACTTTCTAAAGAAATGCTTTTATTATATGAACACTGAATTATACGAAAAACACTTATCTCTATTCCGTTTGTATTCCAAACATTCGTAATGGAATTGAATCAGATATCATTCACAGGATTCTTACACAATATAATTAATGGAAGAAGTAAAATTTCACTTAAATGAACACTGTCATCGTCACAGCTAGACATCCAATGTTTCGTCGTAAGACACTTGCCTTATTGGATCTTCAGTAGAAATACGGATAACATTATAACACAAACGGAATAGAGAAAAGTGTTTTTCATACACTTCAGCATTCATATGAAAGTATTTGATTTGAAAGTATTTTTCTTTTGTGTAATTCAATGTTTATATGAAAATAGCTGTTCCGAAAGGGCATTTTCTTCCAGTTTGTGTCTGAAAGTTACTTCTTTAGGTACATGATCGACACATCTTTGTATATAGTTGATTTTTGAAATTGATTGTTTCCTTCCTTTCGTTGTAAGATTTCCACATTTTTTGTATCAAGATGGAGAAGTGGAAGGCCGAAAGCTTTCCGAAATAATTTTGTCAGACTTTGAATAAATTGAACTCCAGTTATATTTTTTAGATACATTGTGCAAGTTTATGGTTTTGAGGAAACAATGTTGCCCATGTTATTTTTCATTCTGTTCAATAATTGTACAGCGGGTGGTGAGTGATATTTTCCTACACAAAAAAAGAACTAGATGATAAAACCCCAAAAGCCATTTATAATAAATTCACAGAATGAGGATGTGAAAATAAGATACACCTAGACAAGTTATTTTCTTTGAATTTGGTAATAAGTGAAATGGGACTACTTCATTTGACAATGATATTCATTTACAGAATGCAGATTTCCATATAATTTTTGTGATCAGTACATTATATGTACACATAAATCTTACATTGCAAAAATATAAAGCAACCTATAAAACTGCATGATTTCTGTCTAATTCAATTTCAGTAGGCGTAGTTTTGACTTGTATTTCGAATAAAAATCTTGCGGACGCATCCCCCTATAAGTTTTCAATGAGATTTTCAATTTTTTTGACCATTTTCAAAGTTTTTCCATTTGAAAACTATACTTTCCTATAAGTATGGAGTATATTCTAAAAATATAAATTATTTGGTGATGAGTTTATTTTCGAGACTTTATAGTTGCTGCTGGTTCTTTATTTCTGTCAGCTGAAGTTTTGTTATATATTTTTACCTTTGTTGCTTTAACTCCGTGAGCTTTATCCAGGTGCTTTGCAATCTTCGAAAACAACTCTCTAATTTCTCCAGCCACCGCCGAAACCATCACTGAACCAGTGTCAGTCTCTTGATAAAACCATTTCAGTTTCTTGACATCAACTGGATCGTCCAGTCTGAGCGTGACACCATTTTGGTTGGTGATGATTTTCATGAGAGGTAGCAGGTCTTCAGCCCTCCTGCACATGGGTCCCAAACCCAGGAATCGATTTTGTTCTTCTGTCACTGGAATAGGATACTGACCATGGTTGGGCACCACGAAAGGAGAAGGTTTGTGTCCGAAGATACCATTGAAGAAGGAAGGCATTCGGATGGACCCTCCTATGTCTGAACCAATACCTGAACATAATGAAAGAAGGTATATAAAAATTGTATCAGAACATAAAATATCCGAAATGAAATGAGGAGAAAAATGAAACCAAAATTGATAGCTCTTTCACTGTATTTCATTGTTAAAACGTTGATACATGTCTTCAGAAGTTGTTTCTTATGTTTTGTGAGTAACCATTGAATATATTTTGGAACTAATTGAACGATGAATCAACATTCATAGAAAATATTGATTAATGTGTCTGTGAATTGCGTTTATTAGAAACTATAAACATCTCTATTTGTTCTATTGAAATAGTCAACATAACATCAATTGTTTCAAATTGAGATTATTCTTTGATTATCGGGTCAGTGTATAATAAAGTTCACAGCACTACGTCAGATAGTGTACAGGTTTTTTAGATATTGTACCTCAGAGTTGAATTATCAAATTTTTATAATTTTAACGATTACTGTTATATTGGAAATCAATTAAAATTTCAATAATGCCTGAAATTGAAGGACTTCAAATACCTGCTTTATCTTCGATGGGTTCAATGGTTTGATAGTTAATCCCGGGCTATTAGAATTACGAAGTTCCAAAAAGACATGTCTGAACCAATATACTTTTTGAACTTTTTATCTTCTGTCTTTCATATAATACAACAAACGAGTTGGGATCAAAATCCTAAAATTGAATGTTCATTACTTGATGAAAAGTTGTTGGAGATTTTGGTAAGGCTGAAACATGTATATATTGCAGTACAGTTTTATGAATGCAAATAACAAGACATTTGCAAAATGAAAACCAACATTTATTAAGATAACAACTAATTGCAGATACATTATTAAGAATGTATGAAACAATAAATAAACAAAAAACAATTCAAGCCTTCAGGAATTGTATCTTGAAAAAAATATATGAAAAGAGTAGAAAACAATGTCAAAATTTCATTTGAGAATATTAAGATGGAATAGGGTTATGTTGTTATAACAAGAAATTGTGTAATGTCTCGTAATATATTATTCCAAGAGCTGATGATGAATTTTGGAATACATTTTCAACAATCTGAAATAAAAAATTGTATATTGAAATGGGTGGATTCTGAATCGAAATTATCAGGAGAGGGCGTTTGCAATTACCATATAGCTATATGTTGTAAGCCCTTCAGTCGTTATGTCCTCGGGTTAAGTGGTATTTCATTGAAAAATGAAGTGGGTTGATATTGCATTACTTGAACTGAATTTTTGTACAAACATATGCTGAACAGTTACGAAATAATCTCAAATGATTCATGATATCGCATTTGCTGATATTGAAGCATATATTGACAGCCTCCTCCATCTTCATTCTTAAATGTATTTTATTTATTAGGCAAAACCATAAATTATATGATAAGACTGCTTCAGAACACAGTCATAATATAAGAAACGGTGATCTTCTAAAAGTCCCACAGAATCTCTTGACAAGCTATAAAAAATACCCTCAGTATAATGCCATTAGGTGCTTCAATAAGCTGCTAAATGTAATTGAAAAAATCACAAATGACAAAGTATTTCATGATTGTGTTGAAACTATGCTTTTAGAAAGATGCTATTACAGTGACCAAGATTTTTTAATTGATAATCTCACAAACAATCAAATTCACAGTGGACGTGATTGTACTTAGATTAAATTATGTGAATGGTGTAAAATGTTCAATTAATTTGTGGGCATTTATGCTTATTTGTATATGTGTGTATATGTGTATGTGTATATATGTGTATGTGTATATATGTGAATATACCTTTTCCAAAGTCGGTGATCAGCTGTTACTGAATAGTACAAAACATTTGTAAACACATAATAATCCAAAGCACCACAGAAATTCAAGATTTCAACCCGATTTATAGTTAGATGAAAAGAAGGTCGAACGTGGAGGATCAGCAGTACATCTGGCAGAAAAGTTTGCAATCCCTTTTCAGGATGAACGAACTAGAAGAAGATTGTATGCTACAGATGCTACAGTGCTATTTGTAAATCTATGTAAAACAGTTATTCAAAAAACAATTCCGCTACAAATACAAGTAGATGGTTCAATTGCAACAACAGCAATAGGAAAAGCAAGTCAACTAGCTGAACAATTTGCGTTCCAGTCCATAGCCGGGAAAGGCACCACCCACCATTTCCCCACTGGAATCTACAATGGCGGAAATTATTTTTCGATAACTTTTAGTCAGGAGAATTTTGAAACAGCTCAATATTAACAAGGCGTCCTGATGAAGTGCATCATCGTATCTAGAACGTGTGCCAATTGCAGACTTTTTGAACTGTCTTACCAGGAAGGGGTTTTTTCTTGGAAGATTGCTATTTCCAAAATGGACAAGAAAAATCTTCCGAATAACTATAGGGGGATAGCTTTGCTATCAGTGATATCAAAAATCATGGAGAAAGTCGTTGAAAAGCTCTAACATCTTGAGAGATCATCAATATGGCTTTCAAGATTGAAGATCAACAGGCGACCTTCTATCCTACGTCACATATTTGAAATAACGCAATCGAGAAACATGGAGAGTCGAGAGCTGCTGCGCTTGATATGTCTAAAGCCTTTGACCGGTGTGGCATGAGAATCAGCTGGCCAAACTTCTATGCTATGGCTTGTCGGATCATTTTTGCGATGGCTCTCCAGCTTTCTGAAGAAATATTTCCTGCAAGTGGCCCTATTTTCATTGTATATCACCGACTTATTGAAAAACCAAGAATCCAATATATTGCTTTGCTGACAAAAGCACACTTGTCAAGTAATTCTATTTGGACTCCAGGACTTGGACTCCAGGACATCGGCTGCGGATGCACATCTTCACCGACACCGATTGCAAAGGCTGTTTGTCAAATGCGTGGAACCCTGTTTCGAACCAGAAAACTGTACAAACCCCAGCAACTATTGATACTCAGATCAGACTCTTTAGAGTACTATCCACAAGTATGGAGCTCCGAACCTAAGCATACCCTGAAGCTACTGGATTCCATCCAGGAAAAAGCCAATTCGCCTGATTGGAGACGCGAACATCACTAGCAACCTCAATAGTCTGGAACATCGAAGACAGGTTGGAGATTTGTATCTCTTTTATGGATACTTATACAAGAGGTGTTCAAGTGACTTGGCACATTTGATTCCACCAAGAACGGTACAAATCAGAAATTCGCGAAGGACTGTGGATACTTATCGTTTTGAGTTTCAACTTAGTTCACCTTGAACTTCACTGTTTCATTTGGAGAAAGGCGTTTATGTGGAATACACCTCCTGAGAACGTTTATTATGGGTTTATTATGGCTCACATCTATTCACACTCGACCAAAAAAACCCAGCTTCTTAACGAAGCCGATTAGTTTGTATGGTGAGTGGTCTTTCAGGTCAGATGGTAAGAGTACGGCTCTGCCGAACTCTAAAAACCTGATTCGGCCCCCAGCGGGACAGGCACAAATTATGTGGTCTGCTGTTTCATCATTTTCCAAACAGAGGCGACACACACTGTCTTTCGGCAGTCCGAGTCTCTGCATATGATGATTCAGATAATAATGACCTGTAAAAAGGCCTGTTAGACATCGTAGTTCATCACTACTGTAGTCCAACAACTGTTTGGTATCAAGCTTCGAAGGGTGAATAAACGCCTTAGAGTGAGCCAATCCTGGAAGATTTTGTCAGAAGTCCATAAATCTTCTTGCCATCCAGGTGATAAATTTTTGTTTGGCAAAGCATAAAGCGATGCCAATGACAGGTTCTGGTCCGATGAAGCTACTTGCAGCACCCTCCTTTGCAAGGGAGTCAGCAGACTCATTGCCATCCAGGCCAGTATGGCCAGGAATCCAAACTAGAGACAATCTGTTGAGTCTTCTTATCGGGGAGTGTCGTTTTTGTCAATTTTCTACTAATTTGAACGTTGCTTGGTGGAGCTTCCAACGCCGCTTGACTGTCCGAGAATATTTCTATTGACTTGTGTATGAGGTTGGATTCTTCCAATCTTTCCGCACACAATTCAATAGCAGACATTTCCGCTTGAAATACAATCGCATAGGTTCCTAGGCAGGTTGATATCTCTGTCCTGGGTTTGCGACTGAAAACACCCGCACCAGAACCGGAGGGTGTTTTTGATCCATCTGTGAACCTACAACTGTCTGCTCTTAATATTTCCTTCTCCCGGAGGATCCAGTCCTCTCTACTCGGGGACAGTACTTTATGAGGTAGTTCGTAGTCGACAGTTGGAGGCATAAAATCAGAGGTCATTTCCAGAATGCTGTGACTTCCAGTGTTAACCAACAGTCTGTTGCACTCTGCATTAAATTCATTTGTGCAATTGGCAATGTGCACAAGTCTATATGCAGTCCATTTAGCCTCTTTCTGCAGAAAAATGTGGAGATGAGGTAGATCTAGAAGGATCTCCATGGCTGCTGACGGTGTGGTATGCTGATGGCAACACAAGCCTGTCTCTGTAAGCCAGAGAGCATCACCTGGGCCGTTTTCTGTTGGTACACTAGTCTCGAGCATATGTTCACAGATTAAGATGTTTAACATGTTTAGTTTGTTGGTGAGAGACATAAAAGTAAGAGGTGCTTCTCGGGTTCGATGATTTTGTACTATCGAAAAATACGGATTAAAGAGTTTGCATCAAATTTTGTGTGAAAAATAGAATTGAGTGCTCAAAAATACTTGCAATGTTGACAGTGACATACGGTGAATGTACTTGAGTCAAAAAAATGTTTACCAGTGGTATAAGTTTTCCACAGAAGGTCGAGAAAATGTGAATGGCAATGCTCACCCTGGACGCCCCAGCACATCAACAACCGATGAAAATGTTGATAAAGTGAAGAAAATTGTTATGGAGAATCGTCGAATCTCTATAAGAGAAGTTGCTGAGGACATCGGTATGTCGATTGGCTCCTTCCATGCATTTTTTCGGAAATTTTGGGTAAGAAGCGTATAGCGGCGAAGTTCGTTTCTAAATTGCTGAATTTTGACCAAAAAACCGTTGCATGAGCATCGCTCGAGAAATGTTGAATGACGTCAACTGCGATCCAGATTTGCTTAAAAGGGTCATAACTGGTGACGAATGATGGGTATAGGGTTATGACATCGAAACCAAAGTACAAACGGTCCAATGGAAGAGCCTTCGAATTGCGAGAAGCATTACGAAGAAAAAGTCCGGCATTGTGGGAAAACACCTCATGGCTTTTGCATTACGATAATGCACCTGCTCACTCGTCATTGCTTGTTCGTAATTTTTTGGCCAAAAACAACACCGTAATCATGCCACAGCCACCGTATTCACCAGATTTGCCCCCTTGCAACTTTTTCCTGTTCCCAAGATTGAAGAGATCCGTGAAAGGACGGCGTTTTGCGACGATTGAGGAGATAAAGAATTTTTTTTGAGAAAAATGTAAATTCAGTTCATTATTGGAACAGACATCGCACAAGTTCAAGTTACCAGATACTCTCTGACCAAGTTACTTTCGGGGGTAAGTCCGAGATATTCTAAAATAATATCAAATAATATCAAAATTTATTTTTGATCATCACAGGAACATATGACATACTCTACACTACTCGTCATTCAAATAACTATTAGATCACTTGAGATACTAACCGAAAGCAGATACTGCAGCAGCCTGTGCGCATCCTTCACCACCGGAAGATCCTCCGACAATGTGATTTGTATTGTAGGGGTTATTTGAGCGACCATGAACATTGTTGGCACTCTCCCACCACATGCACAACTCCGAAACATTTGTCAAAGCAATGGGTATAGCTCCAGCATTTCGCAAACTTGCAACAACTTTAGCATCTTCAGCGGCGATGTTGTTCTGGCGTCTCACCAGACCAGAGGAATGTAACATACCTGAAAAGGAAAAATAATACTAAATATACAGAAAGAAAAAATAGTCAAAATTTTTGCTTTAAAATTTTGGACGTTTTGCAGATATGGTTTGAAACAATCCATCTACTGATCAACGTAATAATAATAATAATAATTCTGATATTATTCTTATTATTGGAGTCCTTGGTTGAATGATGCCCTCTCTACTTACGCATCTTAAAATCATACTGGCCTACCGCACTAAGGCAGAAATCTCAGCCGGACAGATACAGAAGGCTGTCATTCTTGGCTCACTGCGCTTGCTCAGGGAACTTGATTCTCGGACCCAATCATCACTTACCCCACGGTGTGGGGAGTGGTCGTTGGTTGATAATGCTGGCGCGCCCTCCCGAATGTATCGGGGCTTCGGGGGATAGGGCCTGACCAGCGCATTAATAATAATAATAATGGACGCCTTTTATTGTTATTCGAAAACAGTACATAAATGGTTCATTCATAGACTTTTAGCGAAGTCTAGCTCAAAGCTATTCTACTTAACCAATAGAGGGACAGATTGATTCAACTAGTTTTCCACTGTTTTCAGTATTTTGATATTAAAACGTGTTTTTTAAAAAAGGATTTGAAGCTTTAACAACTTCTAATTATCATATGCGAGCGCTTTCGATAGCAGGCCGTGCTATCAGGCTGTGCTATCGAAAGCGCCTGCATACAATAATTAGAAGTTATTAAAGCTTCAAATTCTTTTTGTGACCTCGTGTTAATATTATGAAGTAATTGAACTAATTATTATGCCTGATCGCATGAATAAGTATGATGCTTCAATTTATGTTACAACTTATTTATTTTATATTTTTGTCCATTGAATAAAATTTATAATATATTAAAGAAGAAAGTAATACAAATCATGAAATTATGGAACAAAAATTAATTGGCGCCGGGGCGACTTCATTGATTCCAGTGGCGCATTTGCATTTTCAGCTGCAGGAAAACCCGGAAAAACCTGCAGCACCACATCATCTGAGGATCTTGATCTGCTAATATCCTCTTTTTCATATAACAACATGAAGGGTGTCCCCAGAGGCTCCAATTAACTAAAGACATCGCCAGAACACTTAGTGACACGACTATCGTCAAACTTAAACCAGTTCGTTTCGTCTTTGACCAATGCGTAATAATGACCCGATTCAACGCCAGAACCGCAGTGAACAATGACTGCATGAAGAATATAATATATTATACATATAATTTGAATTCATCAGGCAGAGTAGTGTACATTTGAAAGGCATTGAAGACAAAATACCTTTGAAAAAATGCAGATTTGTGCTGATGCATGGACAGGGTAGATTGGTGTCTGATATTTTGCGAATGTATTTTGAATCGATGAATGAATTTATTGATCAATGCTGGAGGGTAAGGACCATTTGAAAGTTTGTTAGTGAAAGTACCCATGTGGAGCTGCCTTCTATTGTACATATTGCGCCAGTGGCATTCAACAATTTTATCTGAAATATGTTCATGTTTTCTGATACCATAAATCAGTCTTGCGCAGCTATTTTGCACTTTTTGTATACTATGCTTATATATTTTTGTCAGGCATGGTCCATAAAGGAAATTACAATAGTTGAAGTGACTGAGGACAAGTGATTTACACAACGTTCGCTTCATTTTTAGGCTAAGAATATGACGATTACTGTAAATAAATTTCAGAGATGCCAAACATTTACTAATACGATTTTGTATGTGCTGAGAAAAAAGCATGTCTGTATCTACTACTAAACTGAGATTTCTGGCTGAATCACAGATTTCCAATGGAGTATTACCATTTTCAAGATTAAAACAATTCTTCAATGTAAGTCAATAACGATTCAATATAATATTTTGGATTTTTCAGAATTGAGCTTCAAGTTGTGTTTTTCTTATGATGCCTTGATTTTATTCAATTCATTGTTGATGATTACTTCTGCAGTCTCGAAATTTTCAGTACAAAAACTGAGATAAAGCTGTGTATCATCTGCAAAAGCTTGAACTTTACACTGTTCTATTCCATTTAAATATCTGCAGTATATATAATAAAAAGTAATGGGCCCAGTATAGACCCTTGCGGGACACCTGAAAGAATATGAAGTTCGTATGAGTACGAATCATTAGCCAATATTCTTCGAGAACGTCTGATTTATTATCAAAGCCATAATATCTCATTTTATCACAAAGCAGTTCATGACTAATGGTATCGAAATTCGATGGGCATATGCTCTTTCGATGCCAATTTTTTTGCAGCCCATCTGACACATTTTTTTACTTTACACTAATATTGCTACTTGATTGAACAAATTCTACTTACAGAACTGATGATAATAATATAAATTCCGCCTAATGATTGAATTATTTCTTGGAAAACTGACCTTTGATTGAAATACAGTCTTTGGTTGTGAAAGGAACTCCCAAGAAGGGTTTCTCCTGGGCGAGTTTTTCTTCCGGTATAACTCCAGACTTGATGAGGTCGTCGACGAGTTGGGCCTCCTTCTTTGCTTCCTCGAAACGTTCGGCGACTACGCAATTCAAGATCGGATTCACTTCATTTATTCTATCTATGAAAGACTGCAACACTTGAGAGCTGGTTATCTGAAAAAGATGTTGATTAGAAATACAACAATTTTACTCACAATTCAAATATGATTTGTCATATAAATACTATCTATTCCTCTGCCTACCATACAAACTTAATTGTCAAACGGTTAGACGGCAACCCACAAGTCCAACATAATAAATTATTCTTACATACATACATCTTGAAATTGTAAAATAACAAAAATTAATTGGCGCTATGGGGCGACTTCATTGATTGCAGTGGCGAATTTGCTTTTTCAGCTGCAAAAAAACCCGGAGAAACCTGCAGCACCGCATCATCTGAAGATCTTGATCTGCCAATGTCCTCTCTTTCATAATATAGGGAGTCTCCAGAGGCTCCAATAAATTCAAGACATCGCCAGAACACTTGGTGACACGACTATCGTCAAACTTAAACCAGTCCGTTTTGTCTTTGACCAAGGCGTAATAATGACCAGATTCAACGCCAGAACCACAGTGAACAATGACTGCATGAATATTATAATAGTTTTTGGGAAAGAAAATTTTTGGCTTTCTACTACTATTTTGATACAAAAAAATTGTGGGAATCTTCCAAAGAAAGGAAGGAAGTAATCATTTTGAAAATAAGAAACTCTATACATGGATGTGTAGATCATGCAAAGAAGTAACTTTCAGACACAAACTGGAAGGAAGCCCTCCTGAAACAGCTACTTTCATATAAACATTGAATTACACGAAAGAACATTTTTTTTCGAAACAAATACTTTTATATGAACACTGAATTATACAGAAGATACTTTTCTCTACTCAGTTAGTATTCCAAACATTCGTTATGGAATAAAATCAGATAGCATTCACAGGAGTTTTACTTTAAATGAATGGTAACACTGTCATCCTCACTGGCAGACATCGATGTTTCGCCGTAAGACACTTGCCTCGAGGCTCTTCAGTATCAAATTGGATAACAAAGGTATGTATTTTCAATAATGTTATCCAATTTGGTACTGAAGAGCCTTAAGGCAAGTGTCTTACGGCGAAACATCGATGTCTACCAGTGAGGATGACAGTGTTCCATGTAAGTGCAATTTTTTACCATTCATTTAAAGTAGAACTCCTGTGAATGATATCTGATTTTATTCCATAACGAATGTTTGGAATACAAACTGAGTAGAGAAAAGTATCTTCTGTATAATTCATATAAAAGTATTTGTTTCGAAAGAAATTTGTTCTTTCGTGTGATTCAATGTTTATATGAAAGTAGCTGTTTCAGGAAGGCTTTCTTCCAGTTTGTGTCTGAAAGTTACTTCTTTGCATGAACTACACATCCATGTATAGAGTTACTTATTTTCAAACTGATTACTTCCTTCCTTTCTTTGGAAGATTCCCACATTTTTTTGTATCAAGATGGAGAAGTAGAAAGCCAAAAACTTTCTTTCCCAAAAATTATTCACTCCTAAAAATATAACCCCTTCAATTCAAATTATAATTTGAAGAGTAAGAGTTTGGTGCTTCCGTCAGATTTGAGTCATGTTTGAAGATCATCAGTGTTATTATTAGATTGACTGGTGCCTCAGATATACTTGTTTTCTTATAACAGTCAGTTAGTTTGGCGCATGTTTGGCAATACAGTCGATCATCACCTGTTAAAAGTTCCATTTTCAGATGATATAACAATAAGCTCTGTACGGACTGGTTATTAGTCACATTTGGAAACGATAGTTGAAGTTCCAGAGATTCATAAACGTTTTTGCTACCTCCGGAACATTTACTATAAAGTAAACAAGTGAGGATTTTTCCAGCAAAAGATTTATAAACACAAGACGAGATAGACTGTACGGAATCATTCAATTCAGAGCGGTCATGAGTATTAATTCTGGCATTTTTTTGCTCACGAAGAGTATTCAACAACAACCCCAAGTCCCCAAGACTTCGGAACAATCCTCTTGTTGCCCTAACGAGTATCTAGTTGACTTCAAAGACTCCAGGAAATCGGTTGGTGGGAAAGATGATACATTCTTACGAAACTGGAGCTGCATGAACAGGTGTCTGAGTTTGATGAATAAGTTAGAAACATTCTCGTTCATTGTTAAAACGTCGTTCTTGAAATTCTTCGTCATGAACAACACTTCTAAAATGCTATTCATGTAGCAAGTGTTTCCTAAATTATCTAATCCAGTTTTCTTCTGAAGATTTTCAGGACAACTCTCTACTGATTCGTAAGGAAGAACATGTTTCACAGAATCTGCATAAGAACCATTTCTCAAGCTGCAGTCGATCCTTCCAAGCGATGAAGGTTTTCGTAGATCGATTCGGCTCTTACTTCATGAAGCTCTTCCACTGAAGGGGAACCAGAACCACGAGGACTGTAACTCATATTTGATAAATTGATGGATGTAGCCGATACTACGTGGTAGGAGATCATCATGAAAAATGAGAAATGGAATTGAAGGGGTTATATTTTTAGGAGTGATTAATTTTTGGGAAAGAAAGTTTTTGGCTTTCTACTACTCCATCTTGATACAAAAAAAGGATGAGAGAATCTTCCAAAGAAAGGAAGGAAGTAATCAATTTGAAAATAAGTAACTCTATGCATGATCTACACATCCATGTATAGAGTTACTTATTTTCAAATTGATTACTTTCTTCCTTTCTTTGGAAAATTCCTCATCCTCTTTTTTTTTGTATCAAAATGGAGTAGTAGAAAGCCAAAAACTTTTTTTCCCAAAAGAGAAATGAAACTTTCGATGTTTTTAACCACTTGTGTTTTTAACTAACGTTACTGCAGTTTCGTCCTACAAGGACATTTTCAAATAATTACAATAAACTGAAATTAATTCATGATGTTAGCCCTTGTATATCTACTGTAGGTAATATAACAGAGGTCTTTGACTTAATTGAGTACCTGAAATTTGTTTACCTGTGATAATGTGGATACGCTAACTTAAAAACCGGTGAGTAAAGTAGATCGATTTGATCATTTAGCAGATTAAAGCCGCAATGATTTTCCAAGGATTCCAAGTAATTGACTTTCCAACTCTTGCTTGCATAGTACAAAATTACCATATCGTTTAGATTCGGGAACTTGTGATTGCATCCCAAAGAATGGTTTGAAAACGTCGAGGTATTTTTAGCTAGTCTGAAGGACCTTTCATGTTCAGCATGACCGTTTTGTGAAATTTCCCACCACATTGTCCCACATAAACACTGTTACACGCCGGACACCTAAAGCTTATAAACTTCACATTATCTTTGTCAGTAAAAAAGAAATTATATAACCTGGTATGTGATCTGAATTGTTTTTGTTGACAAAAAACCGCAATTGTCTTTGGTCTTTCACCAAAATATGGTAGAGTTACAAATTTCTTGATTTCTGATTTGGGAGTAAATTAATCTGTAAGTAAATTTGAGACTTTGTTTTCTGACTAACTTCTGGATTGTGTCTGTGTTGAAACCATAAGTAGGTCCTATCTGCCGGTGAAAATACTAAGATTGACGTTCTTGGCTTCTTGAATAGGAGGGGGGTTCAGCTATATCATAAACAATTGCTTCCGTAAATATGGACGCATTTCAGAATTTTACATGTATATTAGTATTTCACTTTGTTGGGTCTCCAAAACTCCAAAATATCCTGAGAATAGTCCAAGAAATAGTCCCTTAAACTTTTGCTGCATGTTTAATAAATACCCTGTATATCACATTAGAATCAGTGGCAGCTTTATGAAAAGTTTTTCAATAATGTAACACTTTCAACGAAATGTTCGCTTGTTTCTTAAAATTCACTAAACATACCGCTATTTTGTAGGTGATCGAAAAACAGTTAACGCTGAATGGTATATGAAAATTTGTTTGCCAAAAGCCTTCGACGATATTTAAAAAAACCCTGAAACGTAGCATCATTCTTCATCATATCAACGTGAGTTTTCACAGAGCGGACCAAACAATCGATTATTTGAAGAAAAAACATCGTATTGTTCTCATATTATTCTAATTTATCGCGTGAAAACTTTTTTCTTATCTACGTCAAACAACAAAAATCATGCACAGGGATTTCCATTGCGCCAAGTAGTTGTTGAGCCTTTCAAAATCATGTTTGATATAATATCAACTTCAGAGTGGAAAAACTGTTTCGAGAATAGGTTTGAACGTATGTAAAAGTGTATATTATCCAGAATTTTTTTCTTATGTTTATGATAACTTACAAGATGTAATAACTTCCAGAGTAGACACTTTGTCAAGTATTATTCTCAAAGATTGTATTTTTGCTTTGATGAACCCCTATCTTCAAGTTGACGGTCAAGTATTATTCTCAAAGATTGTATTTTTGCTTTGATGAACCCCTATCTTCAAGTTGATGGTTTCTTCCAAAAGCTTTCGGGAGGTATCCAACTACAAATCATTATATCAGAGGCCGGCAAGTAGTTTTAGGTGGGGAGAATTTTGATGACGCGACGTCCAGAAAAAAAACAACTGATAAAAATTATTCTATTCTATCTATTTATTTATTTTGGTTTCAAATCAAATTCTGAATTATAAAACGCAAGACCTAAAATTATTGTGAGAAATTACACCGACGGTCTTGAGTCAGTTTTTCATAGTTTGGTTCTCGATAGGATCAGCAAATTTGAAGTGTGTCTATTAGGTGGGCGTCCGTTAATCTTGAACGATATTTGTTTTTCAAAAAATAATTCTTTGAGAAAGATGTTTCACATACATATGTCGAGCCAAACATAGTCACCAAATAATAAGTATTAACAGAGATATTACAGTTTAAAGTAGACTCATAAAAACGGACAAAAAACGTTTGAAACAACCTTATATTAAAAATGAATGAATATCCCCATCGAGAGTTTCTGAGGCGCTACTGAATGAAAACATGTTGAAAATAACACTTTATATAACAATAGCCGATAAACTGTCACTGATTAGAATTATCATAGTGAATTGCCCAATGGAAAACTTTTGGAGTAATTGCCCAAGGTGAACAATTACTGATAATTTTGAATGACAACTTTGCTGATAAAAAGAAAGGGGAGATATAGGTAAATATCTAGTGATAAGCA